TACTACATGGTCCTGCAACCTACCAGTACCTGACTATTGTTGGCAGTGATTTTTGTTTACATGAATTTTAGTCTGTTTATAACATGAGATAGAGGTGCACTTCAGACTCTTGTGGTCGACATTAGTATTACAACAACAAACACAAAGGCAACAAAAATTTCACCTGTTTTCACATAAAAAAGAAAAAAAGAAAAAAACTTGATTTAGTTCAAATCTGAAAGCTTGATATTATATATTTTAATAGTCAATGAGCACATTTCCCAAAATGTTGAACAGTTTCTTTAACCTTGTGTATTTATGAATAGTCATTTATTACGAGCAAACTGATTTAAGCATATTTAAAAGTATTTTGCGTTTTGTCGATTTATAGCAGGGATCACAGATTGGTGTTCATGTTTACTCTTTTTGTCTCTCTTTTTATTATCGACACATCATTTGTTGGTCTCAGTAACCTGGCCTGACATCAATTTCTATGGCTACACAGACACGCTTCTGTGATATGAATATAGTCAGCATGATACAGCAGGACTGGAGATTGGTTGCTGCCAAAGCACCCAACTCATTATAGCGAGGGTAATTGTCTTTGCTCATGCAGAGATTGATGCTTTGGCTGGTGTTGTTTTGTTATCTTGAGGCCATTATTGCTGTTGTTGCTTTGTCACCATCACCAAAGGGTGTTATCATTCAAAATCAAAGGGAGGGTGGACACCCACTTGTGTTTCATATTAGAGCCCCTGAAGTTCTGCAGGCATCTAAAGCACCACGTGAAATGATATAGTTTCTTAAGGTTTGTTGTTTTCACATTAATGATAAGGTTTATAATAGAAGTTTTATATAAAATTGCACAAGGAATGATGCTTGTCTCTGCTGTTTTCTCCATCATTTTGGCTTGACAGTGAGTGATGGAGACATTGTGCTGCACTAATGTTTGTAATGTTGTTTGTCCATTGTCTGGGATGGGCTCAAATGAGTTTTCCCTAAATTACATTTGAATGAAACCAGGAAAATCAGTATAGAAATCAACAAATAAAGAAGTTATGAAGCATACTGAGGAAAGCTGGCTGCTCTTAGAAACTTGATGCTGGCATCTAAAAGCAGAGGTTCCTCGAGCTGATAAAAATTAAATGCACAGCGGAGCCAAGAAACTCATATCCTGAAACCTTCATCATGGAAATCAAATTAGTGAAAATGTCAAACTGAGGGTCACAAAGTGTGTGGATATACAATGAATGTTCAAAATATTAGGAACACTTTATGTTTTTATTGAGCGATAAAGTTGAATCCACATGAAGACCATCCATTTTTTTGACTTCTTTTATTAAATCTATACCAATAAAGAAAGAAGAGAAACAGAGAATTTTTTTGTTTTGAGATAACTGAAATGCACATTATTCAAAAGGAGCTTCAAGTGATTACCAGAGTCCTGAAGAAAGATTTGGGGTTAGCGAGGTTTTCAGGCCTACTGCAGTGGTTTACTTCTTACTGGGGTACGTCGCCATGGTAACTTATATAAAGCTTATGTTCAAGATAAGAACTAAACTCTATAAAAGCACCATCTGCTGTTAAGAACATGTAGTAGTGGCACAAAAACACGAAGGGCCTTATCTAGACTCGATTCCTATTTTCAGGTGATTATACATGAATGAAAACACACCTATAAATATTATAATTAATTTCTGCCAATAGATCCTCCGAAATGTTACACACTGGACCTTTAATATGTACATTTTTACTTTACCGGTTGAAAACACAATAAACATTTAGTTTGAGTTATTCAAGGGCTGTGGCTCTGCAAAGCAAATGAAAAAAAATTATAAAGAACACAACTTCCTCATCCATCCTGACACACTGATGTGATTGCCAATGTTGAAGTCTGATTTAACAGAGACAGTTTACCCTTGGCCAATCTAAATGGAAATCACTGTGCATTACTCGAACATGTGTCTGTGGAGATAACTCAAATTAGGATTCTGTACATGTCTTCAGTCAGCTGCACTGATTAAAACCTTTATAATGGTATGCAATGAGGTGCATTAAGTCTGTGTTATTAACAATATGTATCGATATCCTCCATTCCCTGTGAAATCACAGATTGAAATGTGGAGCAGTTTGGTCGGTTTTGTGAAAAAGAGACTTCTGTCACGTCTGTCAACTACAGAAAAAACAACATCAGATCTGAGAACAGTGCATTTTCTATCCACCCATCTATCACAGTTATGAAACGAGAAAGACGTTACAGTGCAGAGAATAACTCTGGCTGCAATAGTGAGAAATGTACTTTCATGAATTAACAAGTGCTTTGAAGTCCTATTTCACACTGCTGAGTGACAGCGTAGCAAATGTCATTTTGAACTTTACTTGTCCAGTCTCTAAATGACCCGCATTCAAATAAAAAGCATTCTCTTTTATATTGGTTGTTTGTATATTGTGTGTGTGTGTGTGTGTGTGTGTGTGTGTGTGTGTGTGTATGTGTGTGTGCTGGTGATAAAGAGGGTAAAAATGTTTGCAACTAGCTGGCTACTGACTGCTGTTGAACACTGTTTCGACTGACATCAAAGACAGCATCAGAGGCTCGGTGTGATGATTAATATGTGTTGCTCCAACACACCTCCTCTCTGCTAGCTTCCATTTTTCCGAAAGCTCCTCTGGAAATGTGACAATGGAAGCAATTCCCTGTCCTGCCGTGAGGCTGGTCCTCCTGCTGCAGGATTGGGACTATAATGATAAAGGACATAATTAATGTTTCTTTTATAACTTACCAAAACAAATATTGCAAAAATTATTATGTTGTGTGTGGTAGACACGCGTTTGTCAACACAGTGACTGGAAAAACAGATTCATAACAGAAACGTGTTACCTGCACAGCAGGTCTTAAAGTAAATGATGTGATTAGATTTGGAGCACCTAAATGCATACATTTGCATATTAGAAATTACGTTCTTTAAAAGCGTATGTTACAAATAAACAACCAAATAAATAGGAAGCGCATACAGACCCCCTGATTGGAGGCTCAATTAGCGATATTATGGCTGACATTATGGTGTTATTAAGTTACAGAGTGAGCCTCTTATAGGCACAAGGTACACCGAACTAACGCTGTGCAGGAGCTGCTAACAGGCCTATTATCTGCAGCATTTCATTTACATGAAGTGCCGGCAACAACCGACGGATCATTATATATTAATTAGTGCAAACTGCTCTCAAATCATAATGGTGGCTGCTCCGTGCGCTCAGATAACTGGGGCCATCAAAAGTCCAGTGTGTCACATTTAGTAGGATCTATGGCAGAAATGGAAAATGATATTCATAGGTACAGGCACAGGTTTTCCTTTGTGTATAATCACCTCAATACTGGAACTGATGTGTTTTCGTTACCTTAGAATGAGCCGTTTTTACAGACGCTGTGTGGTGCCTTCCACAGCGTCCGCCATGACCGCCAAAGAAAACCAACAAAACACTGGTTGTTGACAGGGCCTGTCATGTTTTTTGTGAGTTTCGCAGCCACCATAGTTTCTCCTACACACTTCACAGCCCGTTCTCATTCGCAGGTGGTCAAATACAGACGTGAGCAGCATTCAGTTAGTTGCAATTTGCAACTTCACCACTAGATGTCACTAAGTCCTACACACTGGTCTTTTAAAACAGGCGTAGGCATTACACTGCATACAGAATCATTTCTGTTCTCTACATGTTGGCTGGTGTGCACAATGAAGAATAACATACTGTAGTTATTGTTAAATGGATTCGACAGCGAGAATATAATCCCTGGAATTATGAATAATTCATCTTTATGGAAATGTTCAACATATTGCCTCCGGAGAATTGGCTAATTTATCCTGATGGTGGTGTCGTCCAACATGACCTGAGAAACTGATATTTGCCAACACACTGGGGTCTGGAAAGCGAGTAGATGAAGGCGATGAGGGATATACTGTATGTAGTAAAATTACCAGTGACATTTAAATCAACTAATCACATTCATATATGTCAGGATATCCCTCACAAGGGAAATAAAAACATTGATATTAATAAGCAGTTTTGCATAAGCTTTCAATCTATCAACACTGTAAAACCAGACAAGTTTATTTAACTCGAGAAATTGTTGAAACTGATTACATCAAAATTTGTAAGCAAAACTAACATTTTGTAAGTTAAAAAAACATTCTTGATTAAGTAGCTATAGTCATTTTAGGCGACATTGACTTAATTTAGTTTTTTTTTGTACTGTGAAAACAAAATACCTGGAAAAAGTTATTAATCAGGAATGTTTCTTTAACTTACAAAACCAAGTTTGTGCTGCTTAAAATTACTAGTGAAAGCAGCCTAATCAGGGTGTTTTCTAACTTAAAAAAAATTTTTTTATAACTTAAAAATTATGATGTAATCAGTTTCAACATATTTTTTTTGTTAAATAAACTTATCTGGTTTTACAGTGAATATGAACAATAAATAAATACGCTAAAAATAATTAGATGAGGAATATCACACATTATTTTCAGGCCATGTGTACATATAGAGAGTAGGCCTATCCATGGTGTATCCACTAGGGTTGACTGGGTACCACAGTTCAGGCCTTCGGTCAATTTACTTTCTCTGTGAAAATGAGAAAGTGGAATTCCATAGCCACAAACATTAGAGACTCAGGAAGCAGTCTTTTCTTAAAACCAGCCTCAATCTCTGGCTGAAGTTGGCACAAATATGTCACCACCAATGATTTATTTATTGTATTTATCATCATGTAGTTTCTATCTCACACTGATGCCCTTATGTATTGTATTGAGCTGTTTCTTGCAGTGTATTTACTCTTCTGTGGTTGTTTTTTTGGTCCAACAAAAAGAAAACAATTTTGAAATGCTTAATGCTGCTCTAGTTGATAAGTTGTCTGGACTTTAGCAGAGCCCTCAATTCACTCATAACAAGCATGTCTGTCTTGAATCCTTAAAAACACCATGGCTGAGTCAGAGATAATGATGATGAGATGAACAGGCTGTTACTCTGAATCCATTTGTGAGAAAAGCTGTGTTTAATTTGCAATCCGTCAAACTTGCAGTACATTAAGCAGACATTATAGACAGTCCAGTACAGGGACTTTAGTGTGTTGTGTCCAATTCAACCTTACAGCATTCAACCGCTTACAGTATGTATTAATCTGAGTTTATACAGCAACCTGAAACATACAGTTTTAATCTGGTACTTAAATTACATAATTACACATCAGGTACAAAATGTAGACTTTTAAAAAAGTTAATAATAAAATATAATCTAGCCATATTTCCCACATAAGGTCTCAGAAACATCCTTCATTTACTATTATTTCATTTTGGTAAAGAGTGTTGTTAAACAGTAATGTTAAATGACACAACAGGAAACACAGATACAATACAGTGTAGGCAAACAATCCACACTCACTTTTACATTCCCCAATGATCCCCAGTGACAAATTTACAATGCATAAGTAAATAAAAGAGCGTTGTGCAGATACAGAAATGGTAATTAATTAAATGTGACAGAGCATAATTACCATTTGGACTCATCGTATCTCTGTGGCTGCAGAGAAAGAATGATTGTGTGTGTGTGTGAATCCTTCAATCCCAGTTGAGAAAAACCTCCTCAAACTGAGTTTTGCTTTTGCATTTTATCAGCAAGAATTCAACCCCAGCTTAAGTGAAAGAGATAAATTCTCATCCCCTCTCCGCAGAGGTAGAAGTACAAAAGCCCTCTTTCACTGCTCTGCAAGCTTCATGGGTAGTTAATAGATGGATTTCTATTTAGTCAGAACAATTCCACTCATTTTCTGATATAGCCGCGACTCTTCATCATTCATGCACAGAACAAACCTGAACAAAAAAGAAGAAAGAAATTTGAGGGGAAGGGGTTTTCACAATTCCCTGTTTCCAACTTTTGAAATCCACAAAGCTGTCCCACAGTTTAGCAATCCGTTGGTTACCAGTTGCAACATCAATAGCTGAAACACAGAAATAAAACTCTGCTGTTTGGTTCAGTGTAACTGTTCGTACATTAGCTATGGTCATACAGCAAAATACGTTGGGGTTTTTTTTCAAAAAGAAAGGGCATTGATAATATAACATGAATTATAGCAAATGACAAAGCAAGTGATGTATGTTGTTGTAGCAGCCAATTTACAGTGCAGGTGTTAGTACTTTTTGCTGTGTTTAATAGTTTTACATGTTTTAGCCCATTATGTGTAAGTTGTATAAGCTGAATACAAACCACTTTAACCAACCACATTTTCCTATCTTCGGAACAGATGTTTGCTTTCTGGAAGTAGAACAGGCTAAAAATGCCGCTGTTCACATATCGATCATAAACTCAAAAAATAAAACCATGTATTAACAGTAGACTGCTTTGTGAAACAAAACAACGGGGGAAAAAAACACATTACAGCAGTATTTCTCCTCAGTAAATTCAGCTCTGCATAGATTTAGTTTAAGACACACACAGGTAAGAACTTAGAACAGTACTATGGAGGGGAGCGAGACGATAGACTTTCTTTCCAGCGATGCGTCCTGCTGGGAGCTTCTCTGGGGGCCGTGTGGAGTAATCAGTAGAGAGGTCCTAGTGTTCAACAGTCATTCTGGGCTGTCACAGAGGCACTTATAATGGAAAGAAAGAAATAAATACAAAGCCATCAGTCAGTGAAGTAAGTTAATGATCATAATATTATTTATGAACATTTATTTATATTTATATAAAATTATTTGTACACTAGAATTGAAAATGAATGCTGCATTTACTGTAATTTAAAGCCTTCCACTTATGCTCTCAGACTGAACTCATGCCACGCTGTCAATTGCTGCATTACTTATCACAGCAGCAGGCAAACAACCCAATCAAATCCTATTTACATTCGTTCAGTCATGATTTCTTTTTTTACCAGAGTTTCAAGCTTCTGATTTTAAAACAAAGGTGATGTGCTGTATAGCTGCAAAACTCCAAGTCTGTGCTCTAATTTGTTCCTACCTAGCTACATCTTAACAGCTCTTATAATTCTGTATTATTCTATATATAGTGTAGTAACCTAGCTCAGCCTGCACTGTGGGCTCAAAAACAAGGCTCAGGAATAGGTGTGTGCCTACCCAGAGAGGTGGTACTATATCGAGTCCGCTGCAGAGTGGCATAGCTGGGCTTGTCTGACAGCAGGATGCGGTGGGCTGGAGGGGCCACTACATCGCCATTCCTCTGCAGGGAGGCACACCTGCGAAACGTCAGATCCAGCTTGGTCTGGATGTTACTGGAGCTGTGAGCACGCTTAATGTCTACAGGGTCGTGATTGCCAGCCTTTCCGTTGACTAGCTGTACTTTGCAGTTGTGGGCGTCACATCTCGGGATGACACTGGCCTTCCTCTCTTCTAGGGCCGCTGTGGTCAGTGTTCCATTGGAGAGCGACAGTTTGGCTAAGTTACTGCTCGCCAGCTTGGCCAGTTGTCCGTTGCCATTCATACGCCTGTCATGCTCTCTGATTGGTGACCCAGGAATATCTTTCTTCATGAAACCAGGTTTGAAGAAAGATAAGAGGCTGTCATGACTGCGACCCTCCTGTCCCCTCTGCCCCCTCCCGTCCTCAGGTTGAATGACCATCTGTAACAAGTCTTTTTGTGCCTTGAAGGTCACCCCTGTATGGACCTTGGTCCTTCTCAATGTGGAATCTCTGCTTGGGGGTGCACTGTGGCTGATATGATCCACTAGAATGGCCCCTCTCTGAAGCTGAAGCTGGAGGTCCAGGGTCCTGCCCTGGTCCTGCCTTGCTCTCTTAGATGACCTCTGCCTCAGAGAACCATAATCCCTGGCTTTGCCGTTGCTGCTGTTACAGGCTCCATGGCTGACGCTTCTCTCCACACAAGGTCTACTCTGTCCCGCTGGTATTTTGGGAGAATAACAAGTGTCGGAGCCGGGTCTGTCGGTACAACTAAGACTGCTACCGCTAGGTGAGCTGCAGTCATGTCCTACTTCAAAGGCTCTTCCCTGTGCATTCCTTTGTGGTGGGGTGGCCACCAGTGTTATGATAGGGTCTTTGGTACATCGTGGCCGGCGCCCAGACTCCAGGTACTCCACAAGCTCTCCAGGCTGGGTCTGGACTGGGTGTTTAATGCGGTCCTTGGAGCCAAAAGACCACCGTAGTGGCAGAACTTTGCTCAGAGACTCCTTGGGCTTAGTTGGTGATCTCATACTCACACTCCTGCCTTGGGTCCCACGCACAAACGGCTTGGCTTCAAACCCATCTGGAGGAAAAGACATACTATACGTTACATACGGCATACAACACGTTACTACTACCTACCTACTACTTACTTAATTAAGCCTAGCCTATATCCCACTATACCTATTAAGGTATACTTACTACTGTATATACCAATATGTTTTAACATTGATTTGTCATTGACAGCTAGTGAAATATTGGTATAATTGTATGCGGAAGCATATTTCAACTTAAGAGCATTTTAATTCACTTGGGTGCAAAAACATCAAAAGATGGGTCCTACTGTTTATTTAAGGGAAATTTAAATGTAAAAGTTATAATACATAAGATTTTCATGAAATCCAAATCCGTTTTTGATTATATTTACAGTTATTTTAGTATTTTTTCAATAAAAGCCATTCATTATATTTACATTCTATTTTCACAGGCAATGGTTTCAAATGGTGAAAAACAGGGTGTCTTTAATTGTAAAGCAGTCAAACTATTTTAAGTGTATTCCATAAAACAATTAAAACATACTACACATGCTACTACAGATACCTACTTGTTTCTACTGTTTTTGGGGGTTCGTCTCCAAACACTGGCAGCTCAGGAGATTCTGGGGCCTGTATGGGACCCGGAGGGCCAGTGGTGGGCCCTCCTGACACCACACTGCCCCTCTTACTGCCCCCTGCCAGACGGACCAGCCAGTGGTCAGAGGTGGATGAGCTGGTGGAACCTATTAATGAGAAAGGAGTTTATGTTTTTTGCACGTCAATTTAAAGCCCTGGGCGGTCACAGACATGTATATCTACTGTTCTCACAAAAGTCACGGTCAGAGAAAAGAAACAACCCTGCAAAATGAATGTGATCACACAGTATCATACACAGAAAATGCACGCTGATGTTCTTGCAGTGCATCAAACAATTCTGGCAGACTGAAATTACACAGAGAAAAAAATAATGATTTTGAAGGCCATGCTGTAAATAATGATGGCATGAGGTGTAATGATACACCCCCATTCCCTCCATTATTTCTATGTTTTGTCACAATGATGTAAAGCGAATTACATGTGACTGTTCTCAGTATAACAAGCTGCTACAGAGAATTTAAAAGGACTGACCGGTGACTGAGGAACTGGCAGACCAAGGGGGGATGGTGTTTCTCCTCTGATAGAAGAGGATGTAGGCTCCACGTGTGCACACCTCCGCCTCTGGAACCGGCTCAGCACTGCTGTCATCATAACTGTACCACTGGCCATCTACCGAGTTCCTACAGAAGGCTGAAACAACAATGGAATGAGATAACCGATATGTGTGACTGGAGTAAATGACATGACATGAAAAGTGCTGTATAAATTAATTGTACAAGTATTTCCTCAGACGGAAGAAAGTTGTTGAGACCTGTGTAATGTCCGCCGTGCATTCCTCCATGGTGGTTGCACACAGCATACAGATCGTACAGGAAGTCTGGAGGAGCCAGGTCAGGTCGTCGGGACTGGTTCCAGCCAGGCTGGAGAGGAGGCGGATGGGTGCCATGGTTGCGGTTCACCATATGAGGAGCCATGTCCAGGCCCGCCAGGGGGAAATGCACAAACGTGGTGAGCTTGTTCCTCCGCTCTCCCACCTGCCTGAAGCGCTTCAAGTGGAGGATGAGGATGTCCGGGAGTGTCCACAGGCTCATCTTCACCATGCCCTGCTGCAGCTGCTTGCAGTGGGGGCACTTCCAGGCATCATCTGGGGCAAGCTGATGGGGGAGAGTGAGGCAAGGAGAAAGAAGGACAAAATAGATTTAAAAAATGCAGTGAATCGATCAACTATGCCTACCCATCCACCTCACAGAACCTCAAAAATCACTCCTTTCACTCCACTCAAATCAAAATCTGAACCTCCTTTAAGTTTCTGTTTCTTACTCCACTTATCCTTATTCTTGAAATAGAGGTATGACAGTCCTAATCAGCGTCACTTGGAACAGGAAGTACATTTTGAAGCTGTTGCCATGGCTACTCTAACTTTTGTTCACTTTTCCTGCCTTCGTGTGATTACCATCTAGAAGTCTGGGCAGCTATGATTCACTGTATTCAACAAGGTCATTCATTTAATGTTTAATGAGGACAGTGCGGACAAGACTTAACTATAACTCACATTGTGTTACATTATATCTTTATCTTTTATGGCTTAGAGAGACAGAATGACACTTGAATTCTAAAATAAGTGTCTGTTTATCACCCATACATATGAGCAACTAAAGCTACATGAGTGAGGTTTGCTCATTTAGACTGAAATGTGCTGTAGTTTGTTTTAATTAGCAATTCAGAGCGACACTTGTGAGTGAGTGCAGAGAGACAGCAGCGTCATCCCTGCGCCTGCAGCGCCACTGGGTGGTGACACAAGGTAACAGCAGCTATATCACAGCCAGTCACACACACAACAGTCAATGTGGACTAAACTGTGGAGAATATTTGATTGCTTTGACACAAAATGCCTTTAATGACCACATTTGTCGAATTTTATTTTCTTCTCACTGTCAAACTCCACCACCACCAGAACTGGAGAATTGAAGAAAGAAAAGAGAAACACATAAACCACTCATTATTGGGCCATACAACACTGACAACATTTCATTTCTGACTGACCACCATGAAACACTTGTACTAGGTGAGGAAAGGGGGCAAGACAGGGCAATAGGACGGCATACGCTTTGTTGTGGATGCGAACATGTGGCTAAAATAAAAGAATAAAAGCTACTTATTGTAATGCTACGGCTTGTTAGTGTTTTTTGTTTGTAGGTGCTGTGCGTGACAAAGATTTCTTGTTGGGACAGAAATGCTCTCATACACGAGTTGAAGCTATAATGTGATTGTTTTGGTTGCATGTGAGATGAACTGTTAAGTTGAGCTGCATTTTCATTGTTAACATTGCTTTCTATATTACACTGATCAGTCATAACATTATGACCAGCTGGGCACCCTGTTGGTCATAATGTTCTGCAGCCCCATACTCATTTACTATTATAAATATATGTTGGTTTAGCTCAGGCTGGGCTGGTAAATAATTAGTTGTGTATAATGACTTTTAGACAAGGCTATTTAACTATTTACAACCAGGCTGGAAATCATAGATTGGAAACCAGCTCACATTATCTGCGTAACATATTTTAAACTGAAACTGATAAAACTAAACAGAAAGGCTGACTCTGTATTTTGCACACAGCCTGAGGAGAATGTGTGTTTTCTCCACAAACATGTTTCCTTCAGTATTTCTCACTGAACCCATTGTGTACATTCTTTAGAACGAACATGCTAAAAACCTTTCATACCTCATGAATCTACTAAAAAGCTTTTCAAAAAATGTTTTCTTCTTTGTCTCATCTTTTACTGTCACATTGCTACCTTCACAGCCACCAACTGTCTATATGCATTACTGCCCTCTGTGGTCTTCATCAATATGTGCTAGTATACAGAAATTCTACATGATACCTTTCATAGAGACAAAAATACATTCATAAAGTCATAAAGGTCCAATGTGTAGGATTTAGTGGAGTCTGTAGCTGCAGTTTGCAAATCCCTCACTTCATCATCCTCTTCTAAGTGTGAAGGAGAAACAATGGTGGCTGCGAAACACATGAAAAAGCGTGAATGGCCCTATCTAGAGCCAGTGTTTGGTTTGTCCGTTCTGGGCTATTGTAGAAACATGGCAAACACTGGCTCTAGATAGGGCTTTTTTGTGCTTTTTGGGAGTTTTGCGGCCACTGTAATTAACAGTATTAACATGGGAGCAGGTAGGGTCGATTGCATATGGCTTTGGGAAGCTCAGTGTCGGGACTCATGGCTCTTATTGAAGCCACTGGCTGTTGCAGACACCAAATGACGATAGATTGAGTACCTGTTCCTCTTTGGTGTAGAGCTGGAAGCACTCATCCAAGGTGCAGCTGTACTGTTGGACGTGCTGCTGCTGCTGATTCCTCACGCTCTCTGCATCCTTCACCACCTCCTCATGAATGTTACCAAACAGGCTGAGGCCCAGGACACAAAGAAGTGGTTATATAAAACACACAGAAAGCAGTTTTAGGTTAATAGAGGAAAACACTGAAGTAAATAGGTGGTATTTTGTAATAGAACAAAAAACTGACCAGTCTTTGATTCTGTGCTCCCACTCAATGATGAGCTTCACATGTGGAGGTCCTCCTGAGCCGCAGAGCTTCAGAGCTCTAAAAGAGATAAAAGGTTAAAGGTCATCCAGTGTATTGGAAGAAGCATTAACTGGTCTAACATTACCTGTTTTACTTATACCATGCTTTCTCAGATTTGATTTGATATTTACAGTGAAAGCACAGTGACAACAACCCTAAGAGAATCATTTGAGTGCACTTGTAGAGATGCCTTTTAACCACTAGGTGTCAGCATTACTACACTACTGCAACACTGGATGATAGTGGCTTGTTGCTTATTTTGTGTGAGAGAGTGACTGTGTGGGATTGTATTGGGGATTTAGTTGTGGATGTTTCAGGGAAAACAAATGTATAAGCTACAGTACAATATAAAGGACTACCCACTGTTCACTGCTGAACTTCAACACATCAACAATAAGCTGACAAAATAATGCTGACTCAAGGTCCACTCAATAGCTTTTCCAGGATCCTTAAAGGGACATTGTGTAGTGTTTTAAGTATTTTATTAGCTAAAATCAATGCCTTCATTCCTAAATGTGTCCTCATTGGTGTAAAATTACCTCTGCCAATGATCTGACTTATCCTCGTAAGCGAAGAATTTCTTATCTGTATAAACATTGGACGGGCAAGTCCAAGGAGGCTTCCATGTCGTTCTGCCATTTTGAAAAACTATAATCGCCGAGAGGGACATAAAGCACTAGCCTACCTGTCTAGCTAATCCACAACGCGTTTTCGTTCAGAGCCAGCGTCACGTGATTGAAACCAGCTATAACGGAGAAGGAGATCAGTGAGAGGCGCTTGTCACTGTCCCGGCACATTTGAAAGTCTGCACTGCGCTTTAGTTAATAATGGAGGATCATTCTTATGCCGAGCCACAGGAGAAGGAATCCTCGTCGGCAAAAAAGCGAAAAAGGGAATTAAAAAGGTAACGTAACCGGCGAATTCAAAAAAACGAGGGTAAACATCGGGGTAGCTTTTCCCAGGTGGAAAGAGGAGAAACACTTTCAAAGGGACGCTGAAGTTGCCTGCTTTCTCCTCGACAGGTAGGTTTCTTGGTACATAACAGCTACCATAGTTGCAATACGCATTTGAAAACGCGAGGCACTAGAGAGCACTATTCGTTTGAATGTAAAATACAATTTCACCGCTAGATGGGAGAAATTCCTACACAGTGTCCCTTTAATGGTATCTCACGATATCATCAGATCCCATTGTGACAAGTGGTTGAAAGCTCAGGAAAAAACTAATAAGTGGATCTTTAGTTATGATTATTTTTACAAACTACTATTTCAAAGAATCACACTCATCAAGAGTAAACTTTTGGGTGCTATTGGGCACAGTAACAGAAAATGTAATGTATAACTTAAGTACTTAAAGGAGCACCTCAAATACACTATCAAAGAATTGTATTGCTACCAAGAGAGAGAGTATTAATCGACAAACTGTTTTCACTGAACTGTATGAACTATATTTGACACTATTCACTGACTATTAGAGAACAAGTCTACAGCCATGATAGTGGAAAGTGTGCAAAATGTGTAGGCTAAATAAATGTTCTTGTTTCCTTTATGTTAAGTGCGTATGATGTTGGTCAATATATATTTGAAAAATAAAAAACATTGCCAATGTTAACATGCTGATATATATGAATATCTGTACCAAATTTCATCATCCTATAGTCGCTGATACATTTCAGTATGGATCAGAGTGGTGGACCAATCAACAGACATTGCCATCCATCTAAAAATGAGCAAACTATTACAAGTCATGTGGTAAGTACAGAAAGACCTGGTGATGAATATGACACTACTCGTAGACACAGACAGTTTACAGAGGCTGATGGGAGCGAACAGTAGACCAACATTCTTGTACTGTTTGATGTGGGTTGACTTGGGAACAGAGCATATTTCGGAATCATTAGAGTTCAAACACTGTCATTACATTAGTTTCTAGGATACAGTGTGCTGCACATTTGCGTTTCAAAAGATCTCAAAAGCTTTTGCCCCCATCAGCACCATTCACTGAATGAATAAAGTGTTCTTAGCAACTACACAAATGGAAGTCCTTTCAGGACCTTGCCAAAAGGCCCCTTTGAAACAGCAATTCCTCTCTGCAAGTAAAAGCCATCAGACATGCATTTGTGAAAAGAGAATAAAATGTCTGCACATGTCAGTCAATGCTTTAAAATCAGGTCTAGCCTTTACAGTGGGTATGAGATACATGAAAAGAAGATCAAATTAATAGACATCAACTTCAAAATATGTGTATAGACATTGCCAATCATCAAAAACGGATGGACTTTACAGTCAGTAATGTGTGTGTGTAACATGTGTTTTCATGTCAAAATGTCTTCAGTAACTGGCTGCCTGCCTGTAGTTATAGCCTTTCTCAAGAAACATTTTATTAGATTAGAGCAGATTTAAATTGCATTAAAATTGATTGCATTAGATCAAATTTAAATGAGCCTGTGAGAACATTGGGTCATCTCAGTGTTGAAAATTTGGACCATAATACAAGTTACTCTACAACAAAAGAACACATTTAGAATAATCTAATAATCCTCTAGTCTAATAATAGAAGAATGTAGTGTCCAGACAGCCAGCGAGCTCAAACAATCACTCTAAACTGCCAACAGTGTTTGCACCTGCAGAAATATATTTTACCAGGTAAATAGGAGGATACAGAACAATGTGCATCTACTCTGTCCAAAAATCATCAGACTCACTTGCATCAGGACCTTGTATTGCATGAATGGTTAGACACTATTTGTACTATTCTATTTGGTCTAACAGCCTTTCAGGATTAAGGGTTCAGCAGGGGTGCAATCGTCCCCCCTCCAACAGGACAAAAGGCAATTAAAGTTAAGAAATGTCAGTTATATGTATGGTGACAGCAGGACCTGTTTGACTGTGTTTAGTGAACATAAAAACCAGCTCTGTGTGTGTGTGACATCAGAATTAACTTGATGTTTCATGTACTTTCGCCACACTCACCGGTCGACAGCGGGGTGGTAGAGTGGCCGTCCGTCCTGAGGTGACAGGTAGCTGTAAAATGCTGATCCTCCCACCACACGAATGTTGAACAGCACTCTGGTATTCTGGAAGAGGGGCACAACAAGAACTCTGTAAAGCACAGACATGGCATCAGGATATTTCTGCTTTTCAAGACTATAAACAACATTAAACTTTCAGGACTTTACGTCTCCTACATGAAACCTTCCACTTATCCTCTCGTCAAATACTAAGTTTTAAACATTGCAGACCCTTTAGATCTCACTGATCACAGTTGTACAGCAAACTAAATAACACTGGTCTGGCATGTTGTACTCAACATTGGTTTGGTTGAATCTGTAAAGATGCTGGTAGATCTGCAACTTAACTGGGCTGACAAATATTGTCTTATATTCATATTGTCTTTTTCCATGTGGTGGCGAGTTTAGTAAAATATTTTTATATCACATTTTTAGCAATGCTAGCGGCATTGGCTCTACAAATGGAAATGTTGGCTGGTTGGTTGGTGAACCACTTCCAGACAGAATTATCTCAACAACTATTGAACATATTGCAAAGACATTTGGTTCAGACATTCATAGCCCCCAGAGGATGAAGCCTACTGACTTTTGTTATCCACCAGCCTTTTTTCTCTAGCGCCACCATTAGGTTGCCATTAGTGGTTTTTGGTCAAATGCCTCAACATTGTCATGAACATTCATTCACTTTATGACATTCCCATTAGCCTCAGTTGTAATTTGTATTTTGTGCCAGTTAGCAAATGTTAGCATGCTATATGAAGATGTCAAGCATGGTAAACATCATACCTGCTTTACTTAACCTTTTCATAAACCAATCAAAAGAAAAATTGTACATTGTTACGATTAAATTTGCATGTAAACACCAGAACATATTAGATCACATCCCATGTAAACAGTTGACCTAACATCTTCAATCGGAAGGAAAAAAGTGTGCATGTAACCGCAGCTATTGTCAGCATGTTAGTATGCTGACAATAGCATTTAGCTCAAAACATCCCTGTGCTTAAGTACAGCCTCACAGAGCAGTTAGCGTGGCTGTAGACTCTTCAGTCTTGTTAAGGTCTAAAATGAGCACTGCCACCACACACTGATTCACCACTGTTATGAGAAATGTTGATGCTTGCATTTTTGTGGTGTTATTCACCCATCATGGCCTTGCATAACTATGATGAGATAGTTTCATTATGGCAAAATGAGAACACATAGCTCATGATTTTGAAGAAGCAGCAGCAGCAGCAGCAGCAGCAACATTTCTCATGACTTTTGCTGCGATCAGTCAAAATTAGTGCTCAGTTCAGAGACTTCTGACCATAAAAATGTAGGCTTAAATGGTTTTATGAATCCAATATGCGTGTGCAGAAGACAACTGACTGCCATTTTCATATGGTTTGTGTAAGTACTGATGTGTCATTTGGGATCAAAGCAGAGAATGTGCAATTTTCTAGATAGTGAATTAAGGTGTTCTGGACATTAGGTTCAGCTATGTCTTCATTCTCTATCTCAAAAGGTACAACAACCTCCATTTCTTTCTAACATTCATTGCCCGCCCTGATCAAAGGTATTGACCAAGGATCAGGTTTGGTCAGTCTTTTCCTTTTCATAAGTCTCTGTAGCACACACAACATGGCAAAAAGCTTCAGGTTTTCTGTGTAATTCTGTGCTGGCAAATGAACTGTCATGAACAATTAATGATAATAATCAGCTTTTACAGCCAACTCTTGCTCTTTTTAGTGACAGTCATTTGTTGTTGGCACATGCTGATTGGAGTCTTGTTTGTCCACTCAATCTGCTCTTGGACAGCTGTTCAAAACTATTTAAAAATGCTGAATTAGGAGTGAGTTCATACCAACACTGGCACATTTTTACACTCTCAGGGTTATATTTAACTATTCTGCTGTGTGAACAGGCTAAAGCAACAAGAAGACAGAGGAGAACAAAGTGGGCCATCATGAAATGTAGGCCAAGACCTGCACCTGACATTTTGAGCTCACAGCAGTTCAGCTTGAATCAACATGTAGCAACCCAAGTTTTGTTTGCATTCAAAGTATTATTTTACAGAGAAGAATAATATTAATAAAACCATGGATAATCAGATTACTCTCATATCATTCTCAACTGGAAAACCCAAGTTGAGAAGAAAAAAGAAAGAACAGGTATAGCTTTCTCTCCTCTTTTGAAGCAAGCTTATATTACTCTGAGATCTACTTAGATTGGTGGTGCTTTAGGAATGCAGGAGTGCTTTGCAAAAATGAAATTGATTTCCTTTTGTTCCAGTAAAATGTAGTGTGTAGCTGCTGGCTGAGCTCAAACACAAACACCCACTCTGAGTCCTGCGAGGAAAGCTCGATCCAGCAGGATCTTTCTGATGGCGAGGAGCACACCAAAGCAGACATTAATATTGATATGCTGAACACATGAACCCACTGGAATTCATAACGCTTACGGAAAGTTACAAAATACTCGTGATTACTGCCTCACACATGCAATTTCTAGTACAATGTAAAGTATCAGCTGTATCAGCTGTTGAAATACTGCAGTAGCTGACTGGTCCCAGTAACATTTTGCTCTAATGCAATACTACACACGCAGAGCCGTGTAACTAATACTATATTATCTTCTCTTTTTGGGTTTCAGCATCATGTGTTTATGGACACTGCAGGCATCAAACATCCCTGTGGTGCTTTTCCAAAGAACTCATCTACTTTTCTGTGTGTTTTCAACCTGCTGCGCAAAAACATGTAATTCTAGATGACAAGTGTAAACTGAAAATAAGTTTTCTTTTCATTACAGACTTGCTTGGGCTTACAGTACTGTGAGCTCCAGGGAAAGGCTTGTGTGTGCATGTGAAGACCACCCAAAGAGTCCTACCAATTCCAATTTCTCAGGAAAAGGGTTTTTTCCTTATTGTTTCAAAAACCACAGGAAAATTCCTTTAAAATATGATACATTTCCCCACTGACTGCTTCAACAAAAGCATCCACCAGGTATACACACACAGATATTTCAGATTGAACTGACCATGTGCCAACCCCCACCACCCAACTTTAAAGAGTTGGGATGGTAGTTTCTTTTTTAACCAAAAATAACAGAAAAAGTGATTGCTAACAAAAGCTGCAAACATTAGGATGTCTGGCTAACTAGCTTACTACCTACAGTGTTAAGTGACCACTGTTTCTATCAGGGGTATTTCATACTACATTAGTTTGTGAAGTTATGGGTTCTTAAAAGAACCCCACAGTATGGAACCCTATATAGGCTAACATTAGCAGCGCTGTCCTGCTCTTTAATAGATTTTGGAAGTTTATACCCCGGAAAACAACAAGCCAAACAAAGTCTGTACATTTATTTAGTTTTCATTCTAAAACTCATTGTAAATTAAACCTCTGTCTTGTTTGTTCAAGTATGTAAGTTACGCAACTAAACAGTAATATAAGAATAGGAACTGTCTTACATTTTTCCATCATCAACTGATACGGGTGCTGCTGACTTTTGACCTGGGAAATGTAGTTTTCTCATGAAGCTAGTGCCAGATTAACTAGCTAGCTAAATGCAGCTGATAAAATCAGCTAACAACAGTTTTCCAGCTAGAAATGAGAGGCTGGTTTTGTCTACGTATGAAATCAAGAACAATCTGCCACTGTTTGATAGCAACCGTCAGCACTGTAAACTGCATACTGCCGAGCAAGAACAGAAAGCAACAATAATTTATAGGATTCGGACTTGATGAATAAGCGATTGTTCAGGTTCAGACAAAAAACCTTTGTACAGTAAAATATTGTTCTGTGTGTACGTATGCATTTGTGTGTACATGTTTATTTTCCACGCAGTAGAGGCAGATGAAGAGGAATATGTGAGAGTAACAATGAGTAATAAGTGAGGAGATAAATGAACAAACAAGCATCTGAGATCTGCTCAGGCAATGTCACCCATATCAGCGCGACTGGTGAGAAGAGGAGGAGAAAAAAAGTCATCTGAGGATGGAGCACGTGAGCGTGAGGACACTATGGACACTGTAAACGCGAACGTTTGTTCCCCATGAGAAAATCCTTGGTCTTGCTTTCAACCAAGGTTAATCACTTTTTGTGTTCAGTGAGGGTCGTGTGAGGTGAGGAATGTTTGTGGCATTGTTTGTGTCTGACGAGGCAAAAGATCTCCAATTACAACCCATGCCATGAACAGTGTTTCATTATGTTGTGAGTTTGAGCACTGTGTGCGTGTATAGAGCGGTTTACATTTACTCTCGATTCTAGTGCTGCTGCATGTCCAACTACATCTCATATCAAATCCAAACAGTTCAGTCTCAACCAAAATGTAGTCCTACGAACACGGTTTGCACCAGGAGTCTAGCTAGAGAAGGTGTGAATGTGTGAGAATGTTTGACGTTTAATATAAGTACTGTAGACGAATGTGCAGCCATCAGTGTACTGCAGCGCATTATATCGCTAGGTGTGCTTTAGTGAGCATCAAGCCAGCCACTGCTTGAATAAAGATGTCAAGCGATGTCAGTAACAGGAAAAATGGCTGTCAGAGAGGCCGTGCTTTTTGTTTTTCAATTGCATCTTTGCTGAAGCTAAAATTAGACAGAGGCGGAAAGATCCACTTGTGACTGTAATTCATTGATGCAAGTAAACTTCAGATTTTGTCGAGATGAAAGATTTAGAGCAAACATCTGCTCTGAGCATCGCTCCTTTCTTGGCAGAGGTAGGCTCCAACAAACTATTATACTGTACAAGCCTGGTTTTAATTAAATGGCTGACAGCATGGGGCACAAAGAAGACTACAGAGCTCCAACAGAGTTACTGAAAACATTGCACCTGACTCTTCTCTTCTTCTCTCTCCTGACACTTCTCAAAGGACACTGGGTAATACGCAGCAAGCTGGTCAACAGTTTTCTTGTGCAACCAATGCTCTATATGGCGCTTTATTGCAGCTGTGTGTCAGCTGCCTTCACAAAGAGAAAGACACTGATTGGAAATCTGTTTGACTACATGATTAACAGCATGCTACTAGACACAATCACGCTGAAACACAGGCAAATGTACAGTACAAGCAAGTGAGCAAGCAGAAACAAGCAAGAAAATTGACCCTTTGGTAAATAATTGATTTGACAGTGACATACAGCACGGGTACATCTTAGCCAGCTATGCTGTTTGTATTTCTATCGTTATGTCCCATGTTTGACAGTAGTCAAACCAGTAGTGGCAAGATTAACAAGCCAACCATGCATATTTTTAGCCGTGCATGGAAGATTGACAGGCTGACAACTCACTTTCTGACCCAAACAAGTCACACTGCCTGCCCTACAGCTTGTCACAGCAATATATATGCAAATATATTATAATGTACATTGTGAATCAGGATGGTACCTAAACATATTAACATACCTTAGGATGCAGCATTTTGGGTGTTCATCAAATGATCACTATTAAAAATATATAGTAGGCTTTACTCTTGTACAACATTGCATAATTAGGGAGTTAGTCAACTAACTCATAATTAAAACAATTACTAAATTAAATTAAATTCCTAATATGAATGATTCATTTGGTGTAGACAACTGTTTCTCATTTCATCCGTGCAGTTCAGGGGAATGAAAGATGAAATTATGAATATAAAGTATTTTTAGACTCAATGACGTGATTATTGTAAATAAAAAGTAGCCTCTGTGTCTGTTGTATTATTACCGCATTTGAGTGGTGGGCTGACACTTTTGGATGCTTTTGGATCACCAATTGTACCTTTAAGTCCCTAAATAGTGGTTGCCAGCCTTTGCCGTCAGAATATCATTAAATTGGAGCTCCAACAACAAGGCCTTATTAAAACTCTGATAGATTTTGAGAAGTTTAACTCGGCTTTAAAAATGCTTCACACACTGGTTATTAGCATTCAACTAAATGTGAATAGTTTTATTGAAGTTGTGTTCTGTAAAGTTATTCATTTGTTTTAATGTTCTTTTTCATTGGCAGTTTTGATTACTACTTCCAACCCATGTTCAGGAAAGAACTCTTTATTAACATCTTAAGACTGAAGTCTGTTAAAGAGCCTTTAATGAAAAAATATTTACTCTTAATACTTAATATACTTAAGAGGGCAGAGGGCGATTGCAGCCAGAGACTGACACAGCAACAGGCCAATAATACTACTGCACTGGCAAAACAAACATAACGGTGCTACAGAGTCACTGAAGTGGTTTTAAACAAACCTCTCCAGAAGAAGCTTTGTCCAAAATCTATACACAAAACAGGAAACAAGAACAGCCACATGTGTCTCTGTGTCTCTGTGTCTCTGTACACTGTAAGTGCTCTTGTGTGTACCAGTGAGCGAGTGTCTCAAACTCTGGTCCGATGCGCCAGTGGGGGCATGTGAGAGTAAACTAGTTCCTCTCTGCCTCCAGCTGGTGCTTTAAGCTGCCCCACCTGTACTGCACAGTGTCATTGTGTGGGCATGCTTTACTTTGTCCCGGGCCAATAAACCTGTCTCGGAACAGGTGCGCCGGCCGGCACAGCAGGAGGGAGCCATGTCCCCTTTCTGCCTCCAGCCGGTGCTCAAAACATGTCAGCCCACACGACACGGCTATTAAATATACCTTTTACAAGCATGGAGCAATCTCTATTGAATTACTACCCAGGGCTGTACTGCAACTTCAGTCCAAGGGGTTTCTGGTTGTGGTTAATAAAAAATAGAATAAATAATAATAATAATAAATCCCTCCACTCTGATGATGTTGTGAAAGTTGCAGAATTTACAGTAGATGTCCAGGTTGGAATGAAAACTGTCATACATACATATAGAGTTTCCTTACATGTACCAATTATGACATTATCAATAGTAGCCATCCAGTACCTGTGCCTGAGCTCCATTGATCATCAGGTAATAAAGCTTGCTGAGGATGCTCTGCTGCAGCTGGTCCCAGGAAATAGACCGGTCCTCCCTCATTAGGAATGGAGGTCCAAACCTTGAATGGGAATAGAAAAGGTTTAAGATGACGGCTCACAGTTCCCCTACTCAACCACCCCACATTAGCCCTGACCAGCTCTCATGTCTCCTTATCCTATTCTGATGTATTAATCATTTACATTATCAGCATGGATTCTCATTACAGCACATCTATTGAAGGACAGAGAGAGATAATAAGGAGTGAAAACAGCTGACGAGGAGAGGGAAAACCATCCCTCTGAAAGGATTGATCACATGACACATTAATCATAAGACACATTTAACTGAGGGCAGCCCTTTATTGTATTCTTGAGGTTTATTAGTGTGAGACCATGTTAGCAGCAAACACACACAGGCACATACACGGTGACTGATGATGGGGTGGTATTGAACTGTAGATTAATCAGTAGGAATAGAGGGGTAATAAATGAAGAATAAGAGTTGTTGCATCTGTTTTTTTCAGATTGTTTAGGACATTGAAACAAACACATCCTCACACAATCTTGCCATTACATCATACATAGATACCATGGAAATGCTCAAAATAAATTAGGTTGGATTACTGTTCAGGATGGGAACCATTAACATTCTGTGGTGGCTGAGGAGCAAGAGCTTCAGTGACCACGACACGGGAAGAGACCACATACACAACAAATAAGAGGGAAAATGACTTAACTCTGTTGGAAACTGCAGTGGAGTAAGAGGAAAAACAATTCCATTATTTTGCTGTATGGTTTGGTTTGTGAAAAATGGACTTAGTGTGCTAAATTCAAAGGCGCTTTAACACCAACAACTGTCTAGCTCCTCATTCTCCCAGCGTAAACATTTACACATAATGCAGTGAATACATTTAGTCTGAATTATTTTCCATGCAGTGAACCCTATTATCTACTTCGGAGTATTCAGTAAGCTATACATATTTTCCACCTGCCTGACACAAGAATCACTTTAAAGATGTAAGATAAAGTAAAATGTCATGAGTGTAAATTGTTAACTTTAAAAAGAAATAATGCAAAAGTGACCATTTGGGTCTCACACATAAAATGTGAAACCTTCTTTAATCCTATCTACTGCTATCCATTGGTTTCACAGTTTTAGCAAACAAACAAAAGAGTTTTCACACTTTGCTGGTTTTTCAGGAATGCACCTGTGATGCACCCTAAAGACAACCAGAGTGAGAAACAAGTATGTGACTCCAATGTCATTTATTTGGCACAGACAAGTCCTCCAGCTGTCTCTCTGATAAGAGCGAGATAGGTGGGTGGTTTGATCAACGATGGTGAGGCGTTTGAAGGAGAAACTGAGACATGGATGGGATTGGACTTTCCCACAGCCGTGTTGGCGAGCTCAGCTCACCTACATTGATCTCTCTGGACTCTGTCAGGGAGATGAGTGGCTGATCTCTATATCGTGCCAGATGTCGGATTCCTCAGTCGATTGATTTTGAAACTCATCTCACAGTGAGGTGTGAGTCTGTTCTTTAATGGGGAGCCAACATGACCTTGACGTGCTCCACCAGGCTAGATATAATGTGGACTGAGCAGCCGCATGTAGAGCTCACATCTGTTGAGGAGCTGTTAACAGTGAAACCAATAAAAACTTTATTGGCCAACAATCAAGTTGCTCAATTTACTGTTGCTACGCCTGTTCCTGTAAGGCACATGTGCAGTGTACATGGATAAATGTGGCTGATTTAAAACTGATTTTGTCACCTGAATTGACTTTTACCAGATGTAGCTAGCTAGTGTAAACTAACGATTACTCTAAAACTCTGTCAGTTAGTTGAAAAAAGTTGATTTATTTGGAAACAAAAGTAAAAGGGTCCTTGATACAAATATGGCTAGATACTTGATATAATGCTAAAAGACAAAGGCTAAAGCTGCCTGTCCCAGGTAAAAGACCTGGCATCATCACTGGTTGATAAATAAAAGGGCAGCATTGTTCGTGTAGTGCAGGTAGGGCAACCTGAGTTGCCCTTCCCAAAACCGAATCAAGAGCAGCACAGAGATATCTTAAACTCTGATATAATAGCACCGTGGCTACAACAGGGTGGATGTTCTGGTCCTGAACCAGCATTTTTCTAACATAACCTCTAGTTAGCGAATGACATGCCACTTATTGGCTTTGGAAATAATTCTAGGCTACCACGGTAGGTAGTAATCTGGTTAGCCAACGTTTACGTTTGCACAAATACATTTTAAAAGTTTGATCTTTGTTTTTGTAAAAGGTAAGGTAAAAGACACCACCCTCCAAAGTCTTGAAATACTGAGTATCAGACCTATTAGAGGCCACGCACACCACTTAAACATGTGTCACGGTTGCTAAGCTTTGATTCAACAATCACTGTTCAGGAGTGGGGGCTTGCAAAGGGTCAATTGATATAATTACCTAACAGTCTGTTGGCCTGCGCCTGCAGCATTGCACACCAACAGCAGAATCTTTACAGGGACACCCTGGTGGAGGAACTCTGACGACAACGTGCCAGATGAAGGTAACCTCTGACCCTCAGGACCAGTGGAGTACGGTGATGATGGGAGGCTGTGGTGATAACCTGGCGGAGGAGGAAGAACACAGGAGAAAATCAGAGAGCAAAGGGGACAGAGATACTAAAAGGAGTCATAGGAAGAGGAGAGAACAAGGAGATACAAGTTTTGTTTTACTATAGAGACAATCACAGTTTCTTGGTAAATCCTGCTGATGCTGATCACGTAGCAATTTCACATTCGTCTGGTAAACAGCTTACTTTAAAAGATAGACTCATACTTCTTACACTGATAGCTTGAAAGGAAGACAAACTTATTTCATGTCCTGAAAACTTGATCATTAAACTTAACACCTCTAACAAGGAGTGAGGAGGAGAATTGAGATATATAAAGTGGCGAGACAGCAGCTTTCTATTTGGGGAACAGTGATTCAGAGGGGAGAACAGATGGACCAATGGCTGCCTGCACTCTCAGCAGGAGGTATTATCTGATGCAGCTTCTGCTCCACATCCTGTCCTGGTGGGGTGCCAAGCAGCATCACTTCTCTCCTGTTCGCCCCCTCCCCGTCTCTTAGAGGAGTGTGACTGACTGAGCGAAAAGCTGAGATTATAAGATCCCTGTGAAATGTGACGTCAGCAGAGCTGCGTTCTCGTCGCACGGCTGACAACCTTAGCACGCAGGTCAGCCCCTCAGAAGTTCACGGTGATAAATCACATGGTAAATTAGAGTCACAGACACAGATGAGAAGATATTGATTGACCATGGTGGCTGAGCCTTCCCCAAACGTTTCATTAAACACTCTTGTGTACACCTGACGAATGATTCATCACTGACAAAGCAAATGCCACTGCTGAGCAGCCTGTTACTGAGATTCTTGCAAAGTAGCAAGCGTCTGTGTCGGCTCTTACAGAAATAACTTTGGCGTGAGGACGTTAAGCTGTGCACTGTATGAAGGGTAAGACCTATTCAAAACTAATCAAAGTCTACATTTACCCCACCAAAGCTTTAACATTAAACCTCTGATTGCAGTGTCTTGACCCTGGGAATGAGAGTAATAAGTATGCACATTTTCATTTCTTAATGTCGCTCTAATCAAGCAAGTGATAAAACTTGCTTAAATCATGCACACTGTAATTTACATGAGCAGTGACCTCTGACAGCTGTGGTAATCATTAATGGGGAAAAAGAAATCTCCTTTTAAATGCCCAGTGAAACATGTTCATAAAACAGTAGTAAAATGCCGGGGTCACCTCCTAGCCTGTCTCGCTAAGATTTATACAGGGAGCTACCTCTCATCGCTCATTAAATCATTTTTTTTATGGCTCACTGTCAAAAACTGTACAGTTTCTAGACATTTTTTCAAGGCTCCTGTCATTTCTCTCCTGATTTTTTCTTTACCTTGTTTACAGGATGAATAATGGTGGAATTATGGGATGTGTGTGTGCTTCCACTTGCGTAGAGTGTGACCATTCCCATAGCCGCACTGTAAAAGGCACCGTAAAAACAACCATGTGAAAATGGTCAATGCACATACCTACACACACACACACACACACACACACACACACACACACACACACACACACACACACACACACCACACCAAAAGTTAACTTTGTTTACCCTACATACCTGTTGATCCTAATCTCTTATTATCAAAAACCCTCAAACTAATTCTAGGAAACTGCAGGAGCCTGTGAACTCATCATTCCTCTGCACTCTCAGGCTTCTTTCATTGTCAAACAGACACACGGCATGAGCCAGACTAAACACAGACTATGTGAAAGCCCATAATTAAACACCTCTTGTCCTCCAGGGATCTTCTCTACCCACAGCTACAGTACGAGTCACCCCCCAATCCCATTAGCCATCTGCACAGTCATATTCGACGTAGTTGAACAAAAAAAGGTGGTCAGACAAATACATGAACATTATCTGACTTTTGAGAATGAGATACACGATGCTCCTTCGCCAAAGATGAGTGAGATTATGTCACTTAATAAGCACTTAGGTTATTAAAAAGTGTATGCTTCTATGATTGTGTGCTCCAAATTAAATTATCACTAGTGGTGAGATATTAGGTTGTGTGACTGAGTAAACTAATGTCATTCATGTATAATCTTGTCTCTGAAATTACTTTATTGTCCCATTTTATTGTTTTCCTGTTTGAACAGAACAGCGCAGCCCCTGTGAGTTGACTGGATTTATTTTACTTTTGACAAATGTTTCACGCACAAATTGTGTGGCAGGCTGATGATGAAAATAAATTGTAATAATAATATTGTAATACTCCCAGATATAAGATTTGATCGCCTGTTAAACAAGATTATGAGTCCATAGGCCAGAGGCTCTGTGAGGCTGTCACGGTGATGCTCAATTGTAATGTCAGCATGCAAACAATGGCAACGCTAACATACTGATGTTCAGCAGATATAATGTTTACGGAGTTCACATCTTAATGTAGTGCGTTAGACACACGAAGTACAGCTGAGGCCGATGGGAATGTTATTTGTTTTGCAGGTGTTTGGTAAATTGAACAATGTGGACGTCCAATCAGTGCTAATGGTAAATGTAGTCAGTTGAAGCAATACATTCCCTCCCCCACTGACTGAGAAATAGCTGCAAAATCTGTTTGTCTTCCGGCACCAGCACATGTACAGTGATGTATTTGGTGTCCAGGAAGAACTACAGACTATTTCAGCTTGGAGCTTAAAGGTAACAATATTGCTACGTGGGAAAAAGAAATGGTTAAACTACAGGAATTTATTTGCTTGTGTAACTGAATAGCACCCAGCAGCTAGCTTAGCTTAGCAGCCCGGTACATGTAGGCACTGCAAGTTTTTCGGTTAATATAGCCCCCACTGAGGAATTTATTGCTTGACTGACTGCATTTACCATAAACACTGAGTTGACGTCCACATAAAATGTGGAAAATATTCCCTTTAAGGGATCACCAAAGTTATTACAATTTATCCTGAGGGGAACATGAATATGTGTACCAAATGTTATGGCATATCCAATAGTTGAGATTTGTGGGCTTCACTCAAACCCTGAAATAATCCTCTGGGCACCTTGAATGTCTGAATCAAATTTCATGGCAATCCATCAAACAGTCGTTAAAATATTTTGTTGTGAACCAAAGTGGTGGACTGCATGATCGACCAACATTGTCATCCGAGCTATGGTGCTAGCGTGGATAATAAGAATGACTCAGTCAGAGATTTTACTGAGGCACACAAACGCAGGCAGTGACTGTATTGTCAGGTTGGTGCTGAAGTGTTTCCAGAATCTTTTGTGCTGAAGCAGGATGCAGCAGACAGAAAGGAGTACAGGAGTCTTTCTCCTTGCAGCAACCACTGAAATACAGAAATCAGGGCATCTGAGTTTGACTGACTGACTGTGTGTCAACCTAACTCACTGCAACTTATTAGCTGAAGGTGACAAAAAATTCACACTTCAAACAGTACTTAAAAACAATCAAAATACTATGTACCCTGGTTTAATGATGACTCTTGATGTCAGAAACCTTGGGAAAATATAAACAGTCGCTATAAGAACAAAATTCCTGAAATACATGTAAAACTGTAATTAAAATGTATCCCTCGAACTAATTTATAAGAACAAGATTTAAATTTGATGTAGATTACTGTCACCTGTGCCATACAAATGTAGAAACAACAGAGCACCTGTTTTATACCTGTGATACGATGAGGATCTTTTTGATTATAGGCTAAATTCCAAATCCATAAATGTAGATTTCTTTTTCTTCCAGTCTATTCAAGTTGGAGTAATCTTGAACAACAAACAAACTGAATTTCTAGTAAATAATATCAGTATAACAACCAAATATTATATACATAAATGTTGTTTCTCGAAATCCCTCCCATTGTGGCAGTCACTTAAAAATGAGTTCACTATATTAAATAAAGGAATAAAAAAAGGTCAAAAATGCCCCTGCCAGAAAACTGTGTGCACTTCTGTCTGTAACCGAGAGAAACGGGCCACTGGCAGGATACAATAAACTGCAGCAGCAATGGTGGTCTCTGTTGATTATCACACGTAAAATTGTTAAACAGCAACCAGTCCATAAAAAAATAAGCAGAGTCCAAACTACAGTGTGAGGGATGAGATCATTTTACTAAAAAACTGGGCGATGAATGAAGAGGAGGAAGAACCTGTTCTCTGCTTGTAACAGAGATAAAAGAATGTGAAATGGATACTTAACTGTGAAAGCCAATTATCTTTTCCAAATATTCTTTGGCAGGTGATTATTCAAGTCTCGTCCTTGGCACCAGTGCTCGCCACAGTGATATTGTGCTTACTCATTTCTGCACTGTTAAATCCCAAATAGAAAAGACTTCTTTCTCACATGAAACTTGTGAACAATGCTTTACGTTTTTATACATTATTCATTTTTAATGTAAATCTTGATTACTTGATTGCCATATGGTAAACATATGAAAATGTTGCAAACACAAAATTGTGCCTCCACTGTCCTCAATTCACCGAAGGATATGAGGGGTATCAAATTAATGTTAAAAATGTCTCTGCAACTCTATGGGAGTGAAGGACTTGTAGTCTGTTTATCACCTAAAACTGCTGTTTAAGAAGCTGGACATATAAGTGACCCGAAGGGCTGGAAAAAGGCAACATGATAATCATTGACCTGTCATCATTTGTGTATTACTGTCAAGAAATGGAAACTGCAGACTGAAGTTAAAACTCTAATGAGATGCAGCTTGTGCAACCATCAGTATGATTTGTGAGCCTGAATTGCAACATGGAAGCATCGTCACCATAAGGCCACCAGAGAAGAAGAGTCTTAAAGTTAACCAATGCATGCAATAATACAAGCTGTTTCAAACTGCTTTCCCCAACAGCGATTGTCCAATCATAGCCTTAGCAACCGTAACTAGGCACGGCGTCTGTCAACCTATATATTTCTCCACATCTTGAAGCGGTATGTATGGGGCTCTAAGGGCGATGCTCTGCATTTAAAGATTTTGGAGGGTGGTGTCTTTTTCCTTAGCCCTGAGCAAATGTTTCAGGAATGGATTGAACAGTGTGTTTATCTGCTCCACTCTGAGCTGTACTTGTTAGTATATGTGGCTAATTAGCTTCCTAGTAACTGTAACCAAATATTGCTTCCAAAGACAAGGGGCACATGATCTGCTATGGTTATCTACATTCATCTGTGGGGTAACAATGTTACGTTATAAAAGCTCTGTTCACAACTAGTACATCCACTGTGTAGTATTTCCCCACTGTGTGAAAGACTAGAGTTTAGCAGCATTAGCACATTAGCAGCTCAGTCCTGCTCTTTATTGGATTTGTGGATGTTTACACTCCATCAACCAGCCAAAGTTAGCTGAGATAGTGTTTGATTTGCTAAACACATTACTCTTCATTCTAAAAGCCTTTTTTTGTGACACTAAAAGTGAACAGGCTGTCAAACAGGGTTCTGTTGGAACGAATACATTTTTCCTTTCAATATAATATATTAACCTTTTCAGTTACAACAGTAGGAGTATAGCTCTGCAGTTTAAGAACAATTTTGTTTCTTCATTTCAATGTCTTCTGTATAGCCGGTGATGCTGACTTCTTTTTAAATAATGAAATTCTATTATTTTTCACATTAATAGTAACATTATTACGTTTTTGTTACAGGCCTGAGCTTGAAAAAATAAATAAATACATGTTTGTTTGTTTGCTTTTGCATCATCATTGCATATTTAACACCACTTTATAGTGTTCGCCTTTTAAAACAAGTCAGCTGAAAACATGAGAAAATTCAGTCAGGTTAATTAGCAAGTTAGCCAGAGCTAATAAATTCTGACATCAATAGTTCTCACTTCAGTTTCAAAATGAATGTTTGTTGGCTAGACATGAGAAGCCGGCTTTTGTCGACCTCTGTCTGAAATCAAAGACCTGTTGTTCCAGAAACTACAACAAATTTCGATAGTAAATCTCTAAGCTCTGTAGTGAACACATTTTATGATACTTACACATTTTGTTCAGCAAGATACACCACTTTTATGATTGAAGCATAAACACGATCATGTTAGGCTATAAACAAACTACACCATGGGAGCATGACTCAACCACCACTAAGCTCCTGTGTTCAGCGTGATGATGGGTAATGTCCCCGACAACCTCTGTACTCTCATATAGCCACTTGTTACCAACCGCCTTTTTTTAGACACATAAAAGTGTCCAAATTCAGGGGTGGGGTATTTATTGACATATTTTATGTCATAGAACAAAATGTGAAAATCTCTTAAGCTTGTATTAACTACAGACCTAATTTCAGGCATCTGACCAAAAACCCATAAAGGAAAAAAAAAACATTAACTTTGAAAGGACAGAGACAGGTAAAAAAAATGCTAACTCATTTCCCCGTTTTAGGACTCATTCCTGCAGCACTCTATAAAAGAAGTGATAGGGTCACAGTCATAGTGCCCAGTCAATATTTCTGTGACCCAGTATGACCCTATAAGACAGACGTTCTGGGAAAAGAATGAAATAATGACTTCAGTGTGTAGAGGAGAGGTGGTATATGCAGCGGTGAGAAGATGACGTAAGAGATTATTTTTAAGTACAGCAGGGAGGTTGAGAGTGGGAAGGTCACCTCATCATTGGTTTGCCTTTGGCATGATCCAAGGGTATCTCCTTTTTTCATTCACAGCAGACACTGAACAGCTCTTTGCAAAGTGCCTCACGCTGTCTCTAACAGTGTGTGAGTAACTGTTACCTTGAAATTTACTGAATGCCAGTGAAATTCAATCAATCGAGTGTTATTGTTTTAATTGCCCACAAGATGTGTTGGAACTGCATTTGTCAAGCAATGAGGAAGCTGCTTTCTACAGACTCCACTCCTCCTTATAGAGTGGCTTAAGTTAACATAAGGACATAATCCACATTGATAACATTTGCTTAACACTACCACTGCACATAAAAATGTTTCGATTACCAGGCTTAGCTCTAATGAGACCTCTGGTGAGAGTTTGTTATTCTATTTCACATCTAACCCACAAGACTTTACTTTCATTTAAGCATTTATGGATAATTGATTAAGGGTCTCTCAGGGATCAGACCTTTTAGATTTAGTAATTGCAGAAGGGGCATAAAGATTAGATTTTAATGGTACCAGACAGCTTAAAAGCATTACAGATCATTGGTGTGACTGGGTAGAAAAACTGTAATAAAGGTGAATTTTATACATTAATAAGATATTTTATTGGCATCGTTTACTCGTATGCTATTGTGATTTTATAGCTTTGATTAATCGAAAACAGCAAGGCAGAAAACTTGATATTTCATTTATGTACATAAATAATTTAAGAGAGCCTGGTGAGATATAAGTACAACGTTCTTTCCAGTTCATCACACAAATCACATAAAGCTAATGTTGCTCTTTTGGTATCCTTTTAGGTTTGGGTTTGCTCAGTTATTTGCCAGAAAAAAGTTACATAAGGAGATTAAATAATGGGGATGCAGGAGAGGTATTAAATCATAAGAAGTGGTGGAGTGTTTTACCTTTGAACATATTTGACCCTATTAAGTAGATATTACCTAAAAATGTCAATGTTCCTTTAAAGATGAAAATATCTTGCGTGTATTCTCACAGCGCAAACATCTCAGTGTGAAAGACAGGACAATCTGCAGTGCACAGAAAAGTGTTGAGTGGTGATGTAGAGTTTCCATATCAACGCCTGCAGGCTGAGCCAGTGAGAACCCAGGGGGTTTAGACTGTGCCAGCATGCAGACCAGCCAGACTGTCAGGGGGGCCTCCTTTTAGGCAGCACTGCTCTGTGCGGCCATTGAGCAACATAAATTGAAGCACTAAAAGTACATTTTTCAGGTACAACAGCAGCGTTGACACAGTGCAGGGACTACTCTTCCAGCCCAGTGAGGGGGGACAACAGACCTATTTGTTTACACCACAACGCAAGAAACAAGGGGATACTATACACTGAAGTACTTCTGCGCACACATTATACATCACTAGCTGAAAAACAGATGAAATGAAGACATAAATCTGATGCAAGAGAAATCTTCACAGGGGGGATGCAATTCACAGAGCTTTATGTGAAGTTATGTACTTCTTAATGTGCTCCCCAAGGGCCCCCTGCAGGAAGGTGCACTCCCTGAGGGTTTCATTAAGCAAAGTACATTAATAATATTGGTTTGTTTGCTTACAGATCTGTGAGTACAGCCACATTAAAGCAGGGAAAATATTAATGCAGTACCACAAACTAGTTATACTCAAATTAAATGTGTGCTGTGTTAGAACTTAAAAATAGTGTGTTCGACTTTGAGTTCAGTCATGCAGATACCTGAGATTCGTGCAGAGCCTCCTCTGATGTAAAGGGGCGGAGCCTGGAAGGCGTAGATGACATCATTCTCAGCTATGTTGGTCAGATCCTCCTCATCAAAGAAGGAGCGATGGAAGCCTGTGGAGTAAACCTCTGTCAGGATCACCTGGAGACGAAACAAATACGCACAAACACACGTGTAAGTTTTATTTTAACAGTGCCATTATAAATCTTATAATCCTGAGAGAGTGAACTTGATGGAACACCAACCTTTGCACTATTATTCCCCCTAATCTCAGATCCAGCTTAATGTATTTTAGCCAAGTGAGTAAGAGTGAATATAAGCCAGTGGCATGCAAACAAATGTCATTAATAAGATCCACTATAATCATACTCACGTGCCAGCCAAGGTGAGCTGTGCTGCTCTGTTACGGTAGTTTGTGTTTTAAAGAAGGGAAATCTATGAGGAATGTGGGTCCACACTGAGAATTTATTCTTGCTGTATGTTACCTGGTCTGGGGAAAGTTTCCCCTCGTCAGCCACCATCCTCCTCAGGGAGGCCACAGAGCCAAACAGAGGCACGCCCAGCCCGACCCGCAGGTACCTCTGTCCTTTGGTGCTGAACACCAGAATCACACACAGCGGCCTGCCACAGATGAAGACACACAATCAGGGACGGTGGGAAACAGAACGGCATCTGTTTTGATTTCAGTGCCATTTCTAATCGAAACCTCCTCTACGGCCAGGAAGGGACAAAAGAAGACTTTCATGAATAAATCAATACATTTTAACATTAATAATAGATCATTAGGACTTAGTTTTATGTGTGCCAAATAATGGAATCTCTACTGCATTTTTAAAAACAGGGAGCGCTTGGCTCTGACCTCTCCTGAGGCAGCGCTGACATGAGCAGGGTGCTGGGACATAATGGCTTCTTTGAATAACAGCTCACTGAGGAGATAGAGAGGGACCCTATCAGGTACCTGTGGGAGTCTATGGCCTGGAGGCTGTAGCTTGTGGCATAGAAAAACTCATTATATGGAGAAATGGAACTTTGGGGGGTTTTTTGCACCTCAATAAAATAAAAATAATGGAGCGAGATAAACTTTATTGATCCCTCACAGGGATGCTAAAGTATCACAGCCGCAGAAGGAAGCACAATAACCTATGCACAGGATAGAGAAGTAACCTTAAAAAATTTATCTTGGGGAGTAACAAAGAAAAAGAATATATAAACCAGAAAAATTAAGACTCTGATTTGCAATTGTGCACCAAAGGCAGAACATTTCCTCTGAAACAGAAAAATAAAAGGCAAAATACATCTATACGCTCACAATGTGTGTACTCTTGGTAAGGAATAAACACAATACTATGAATGTCGGTCACAAGTCAGCAATTCAACCTGCAAACTGGTTCTGTTTTTGTTGCTCGCATCCTAAACTAAAGGTGTATGATTCAGAAAGATCTAAGGCAGGGGTTCCCATCCTTTTTGGCACTGTGGACCAACTATTTCATTGCAGACCTGCTCACCAGCCGACCAGAGACGGGAATTGCCAAGTGTAATTATTCTGAAACTAAAGTTCGACAGGGGGTCTCGCAGTAATTCACCTGTAAGTTCATGTAAGTTTTGGTCCAAGGTGATCTCTCTCTATTTATCCTCCCAACACACAAATAAGGCGGATAAGATGGAGCAGACAAAGGAGTGAGTAAAAATAAAAATAAAACAATACTTTATTTGCTCTGTATTTCATTGTGGTTACTTACTAAATAAAATAAAAATACAGATAGACCTCTCAGCAACACTCAAGGTGTGGCTTCACACATTTCATGTGGCACAGCTAAATGCTGAAAGGTGATGTACTGGTTACTTCATACGGATGACCTGTATTATTTCAACTGAAAAATGTATAATATAATATAATAAAATGTATAATGTATTGTGTTGGAGGCATTGATGAGAAGAACTGAGCCACATACTGCAAGTTTAAAGTAATAACTCTATAATTAGCCTGTAATAACACCTTAAGCTTTATCATTATTATTTCGCTTTTTTTGTCGAATCATGTTTCCTCATGGTCCAGTAGCAAATGTTCAGAGGACCGGTACCGGTCCACAGCTCTGGGGATGGGAACCTCTGATTTAAGGGACCTAATGGGTTTATATTCTTCAAGCATATCAGAAATGTATTTTGGCCTAAAGGCATTAAATGATTTATAAACCAGCAGCAGGTCTTTGAAGTCTGTTCTGTAACTAACTGGAAGCCAGTTTAAAGATTTAACAACATGAGTTATCTACATAATTCTACTGGTTCTTGTTATGCACAAGTAGTATTGTTAAATCTGTACGTCTGAAAACAGTAACCACTGAACCGACATGTTTACTCCTTTCCCGCTGATTCGGTTGTGGAACAGGAAACTTCAAAAGAGCACAATAAAGAGAGAGTAGTAATTGGCAGAACTAATCAAGCCACAGCTCAAGGAGGTATCCCCAATTTATGCTAATTACATTTTTCCTACCACAAAACGAAACACTGTAACTGCTAAACCACTCTGTAGGCTGACTGGATTGTCAGGCTTTTATTTCAGCATTACACTTGAGACAATAACTACCATTTTTTTACACTTACAACCCCTTTTTTTGCTTCCATCTTATGAAACAATATTTAGTTACAATGATGATTTCTAAAATAATGATTTCTGTAAATAGCAAGACTACCTATAGATAATTAGAGTCCTGTAAATGTTGCTCAGTTAATGAATAAACTGACACTGAGCAAGCTTTACATATAGTGTAAACAAAAATTATCCAACATGCAAAGAGCACATGCTTGCCAAGTGACAGAGCCCAGTGTTTGTGCTGCTGGCCACAGAAAATGTTGGTTTGGTAACAAACAGTATGTGTTTATGGCTTACAGACATGACTTGGCTGGAAGTGAGTTGAACTCTTCACACAGAGAATTCAAATGCATTAAAAAATGCTTTAAAAAGACAACCCATCTGTTTTCTCCTCTGTTTATCCCTTCTGAAGTGTTTTCTCTCACCCTATCTGCCACACAGTTAAAAGAAAGGACGGTAACTAAATACTCTCGACTTGGCACACTGTCAGGACTAAGCTCTTAAAAACAATTTCCCAAATTAGAGGGGATGTTGGCTGAACTTGTATGAACTATTTCAAAAACAAAAAAGTACAAGGAAGGAAATAACTAGCCAGGAGAAACCCAGGCACCTTAAAATAGTGATCCACAAACCTCTGTGTGTCAGTCATGTAAAAGAGTGGAGCTTAGCACACAGGGGCTGCGCTGAGTAGAAGCTACATTTTAGCCTAAAAAGCTGCCAAATGATCGTGTTTAGATTGAGGCTAGACATGGTATTCGCTTTCTTGTCAAGAATGAGATGAGCCACTGATGATCACTCTTATTTCTGTATGTTCAATATGTAGCTAGAGCCTCCAAAGCTCACTAATTAACATGCTATATATGGTTTGTTTAATCTGTGCAAAATCTGAGGCATAAAGGAGCAGTAACTTCCTGGACAAATAAAGCTGACAATCAGTGAGCTTTTGAAGTGTTGGTAGGTGTTTCAAGTGCTTATGCTAAGACAAGCTAACCGGCTGCAGGCTGTAGACTTATATTGAATTTACAGATATGAAAGTGGTAAATATCTTCTCATCTAACTCTTCCTCAGAAAGTGAGTAAGTGTATTTCCGAAAAAGTCGGAAGGATGTACCTCGCTCTTGCCCAGTGGATACGGTGACAGGCTCCGGTCTTAACCAAGATAAAAGGCTTTAAGGTTAATTTTAGAATTATTTGGTTTATAACCAGTCAAATGTATTTATACCCAGCCTATGACGTCAAACTGGGGCTGAAAAATGCCCACCGTTATACATACAAAAAAACAAAAACCTAAGAACAAATGCTAATGTTAGGCAATGATCTTCATTCACATTAGTAGCAGTTGTGTATGGGTAGAGGTGAGGGAGGTATGTATGTTTGTGTGGCGGTGTGGGTCTGGGAGGACACTGCATTGGAGCAGGAGCTCAACCATTTCAACTACTAACAGCCCACGTCCAAGGGACAGGATAGGATAAGACACAAGTTGTGGGAGACAAAGTATCTGATTTAGTTTCCACAACATGAGAAGGACCACAGTAAAGACTAGAAACAAGTACTGTAAGCATGTTGTGAGTATTTAAGTGAAAGTCAGTGTTTAGACTGTGGTTTTTTGTGAGTGTTTGACAAAGAGACTACCTCATAATTAAAGTGAGAGAGGTAATGGATGAAAAAAAAGAGAGTGAATTGGGTCTCCTCCCTTGAAAATGTCAGGATTTCCTGAACGGGCCCTGCTGACCTGACACAGAGGCCAAGTGGTTGTTGTGATGTAAAGTGGAATAAGACATTGTTCCTCAATGCTGAGGTTTTCCACCAGCTTTTCCTTTTGTTACCAGCCCTCCATCTTTCAAATGAATTATGTTCCTACTGTACGTAGTGAATGAACAAAGCTGGGTGTTGTCCAGCCTCTTTTTTTTTATTGTAGCCGTCTTTTTAATACCTCAATCTTACTAAAATACTTTTTACTTTTTTTCTTTCATGCAAAGATTTAGATGATATTGATCGATACTGCTTTCATATACAGTAAATATGAAACCACAGCCAGCAGCCAGTTCAGATGATGATGAGTCTGAATTAAAAACAGCAGGGCTCACCTGGTCTGGCGAAGAGGAATGGGGAGTGAGATGCAGAGGAACGGGTCAAAGGTGTTGCTCTGTTTCAGACAGTGGGGGCATGTCAGTGAAGATCTGAGGAAAAGAAAGCACACAGTTACATTAGTCTTTAAAAACCAGCTGTGCTGACTTGACACAGACTTCAAAATTAATCTCAACGTCGTCCTGATTAAGACTGGCAGGAAAGGAGATGGCTTAATCTTATTACACAAGTGAACAACACAGTCAAAATGAACACGGTGTTCCACACAGAAACCCTTGATCTGATTGTGAGAACGGAAAAGATGAGTGATGTAACTGGTGAGAATGAGAGAGACAAAGAGTTGGGGTTGGGTGGGGGTGTGAGGTTAGTAGTAGAAGAAGCCCCCTAGGATGATCGGGGCTATAAATGGGAACCAGCTGAGGCAGTTTCCATCTTGTTGCATCACTCTCACCAGTGCTACTAATGCTCATGTGATGCCATTACGGGATCCCGAGCGGAGAAAAATAGGGAGCTTTCCTAAGTGATGGCCTTTCTTTCTCTGCATTTGCATTCACAGGCCACAAATCACTGAAAAATGTCCAGATTTGTACAGCAGTGATTTTCTTTCCAACAGTTTTCCATTCAGTCCCCTTTGTTCATGAGTACACTTCTTTTAATGGATCCCACTTAATTTCAACTTATTCCAGTCAGCTAATTGTCTGAACAATGAGTCAGAGAGCCCACTGAAGTTAATGGACGGATTGCTGGAAGTGATTTTGTCTGCAACTAAATTAAATCTTTTGTCCAGTATTTAGAGTTAATCTGTGCGGGATTTCCTGGATAAGACTTTCTGTAAACATATGATAATTAAGTGAATCTTGAATAGGTGCTTTTGATCCTCCTCTTTGATTACAAGAATTAGTAGCATCAGTGGATTACCAAAAATGCAGTACAGTGGATTTGACATCGACCAACCAGACACATAAAACTGAATATAGCATTAAATTAGAATTTTAAATAAAGCATCTAAACCAATGATTCCCAGACAGAGGTACTTATACCCCCCAAAGGTTACTTCTGCAGTTGCCAGGGGATATGTAGAAAGACTGTAGAGTAGCTCACCTAATGTGAAAAAAAAAGAAAAGAAACAATGATATGATTAAAAAATGTGTATCCATGTATTGAAACACGATAGCTACATGTTGCCATTGAGAGAGCATTAAAACTTTGGTCCATAAAATGGTGACAAATGTTTCCCCCCTTTCCTTTAATGTTTTGTTGTCAAAGATATTCAGTTTACTGTCTTAGAGGACTAAAGAAACCAGAAGAATCAAAAAATTTGAGAAGCTGAAATCAGAGAATTTGGACATTTATTATTCATTTAAAACAATTAATAGATTGTCAAATAGTTGGCAATTATTTTAATAGACAACTAATCAATTAATCGTTGCAGTTCTAAAACAGTTAGCCAAAACTAATGGATCAATGGTTAAAATAGATAAAGGAAAAGACAAACTGCTATAAATAGTCAGCTCAAAGTAATGGATAAATATCTAAAAGCAATAAGTGGTTGACATTTTGCTATAGCTGTACAAAAGCCAACTTGTCCAAACCAACCTAAACACTGACATTTAAAAAGATATAAACAAATATTGTATAATAATACACACCCACTTTTATATATTTAGTACTGTTATATAACATCAATTCAAATGAATAAATATGGAAGAAAACCCAGCAGGACAAAAAAAGGTTGGGAACAACCAATCTTAACCATGGCAGTAGTCAACTAAATGGTCCTTCCTCTTTTGGTCAACCACACTTCAGTGGATGTTTTCCACACTATCTAGAAGAGACAACCAATTCAATGTGGTTTCTGGAGGCCATATTAGAGTTTGAGGAAGCAACCTTGTGCATGGAAACTCATCAGTTTCATTTCAAAACCAGCTGGAAAAAAGTTTTAGTTCAAAAAAGCGAATTAAAAAATGGATAGGAAAGGAAGAAGCCTTTTCTGAGTAAGACACCCCGTTAGTGAGAGTGCAACTCCTCAGTCTTAACATTCAAAGATAACATATGATTTACCACTGCTACTGTAACAGTATGGGAAGCACAGTGCTGCACATAAATTCCTAATAGATTTGTGAAGCATAACCCAGCAGCAATAAAGTACACAGAGAGCTAAACCGAGGACTCTGGGAGACTTAAATCTCACATAAAGAAAATTCACACTTTCAACATCACTCATATAGAGAAAAAATTATTAATTTCAAATGCCAAATTTCCTTTTGGTGTCATGAACCATGCCAAAAATACTCCCCATCCTCTTCTTAATTCTCATATATTTTTCATTGTCTGTGTAAGGAACACTTTAACTCCCCCAAGCTTATGTGTGTCGAACTTTTACGACCTTCACATGCCATCCTACCATGGGAAATTAAGCCATAGATGAAGTGTTCAAATGTGTTTTCCTTATAGGAAGGCACCTGACAGACCCAGTGGGGGAGGAGAGGGGGGAGTGAATAAAGCTCTATTCAAGCAAACCCAGCTGACACTGGCTCTTAGTGGATCTCTCCCTCTTGGCAGAGCAGAATGGCTGCCCTACGGATGTCTTATTCTCGCCAGGAAACAGTGAGGGTAACTGCACTCCATGCATACAAATCACACTCAGGCTCCACTAAAACATAGATGTGGCCTGCACTGCTCTAAAACACTTAAAAAGAGAAAAGGAGCAATGGAAGAGGTGATATTCTGGTGATGCTCTAATGGAGGAAGCGTGCAGTGGTTGAGAGGTATGTACCTTCCTGTCTGGAGGTGCAGCCATGCTGAAGAGACTCTGACCTTGATGCTTTGCACTAACACACAATTCTAGAGCTTTGAATTTCTCAGAGTAACGCGTCACCTAGATATCTTTAGCTAATCGATTTTCTCTCCAAAGAGAGGCAATTAAAAAAACAAAGTCTCAACAGGTTCAAATGAAATAGATTGGCAGCTAATTCTTCTCACTGAGCCTGGCAGCTATCCTCTGTTGGGGCATGAACAGTGAATGCTCTGAAATGGAAAAGGCATAAACCTCAAAGTGCGCCTCATAATTCACTTATTGAATATACACATAATAAACAAACCCATTACTGGCCTTGTAAACTCAAAAGTACAATCCTGCTCTTCAAATCATAACATATCAGTCAGGAGATATGATCAATCAAAGGCCACGCGGTCCGATGAGCTACACTCCCACTTAAACAGCACCACGTCTGTAATGTGGGCCGCCCGTCACTTGGCTTCACTGTAATGAACAGTGCTTGACAGACAGACACTTTCATTGCAGCCTGTGACTCACCCACATGTAGACAAAGATCACAGTCTTTGATCAAGTAAGGAAATCTTAAATTAGATCAAAGGGGGAAGAGAAGAGCGATACATCTGAACTCAGATCTTCTGAAATAAAGGTGTGTTTTATACTGAAAATGACACTAGATTTATCACAAAACGAAGCCAGAATATACACTGACCTTAAGTTCAGCTCTGATTTTGATCAGCTCCAGCATGTGATGACAGACAACATAAATTAAGATCAAATGACTCTTGGCTTGGCTTGCTTGGACTTAACTGGTTTGAACACGTATAATGGCTGTGATGATTGCGTAGTGACAAACCGGGCTATTACAAGGATAATTCTCCGGTCTGTCAACCCTAGATGTTGTATCACATTGGACACTGCATTGGGAAGTGTTACACTGGCAGTGGTGGGACCTCAGGAGCCAGAGGAAAAGAGAGGGACATTAGTCAAGAAATACCAAGACTGATGATACATTCAAATTCACATCTCCATTTAAATACAAATTTAAACTTGTAATGTATGTTTTTTTAAACTGTTAAAATAGATTCAGACTGTACACTTACTGGATTTACTGGTTCTTTTGTAAAGTTTGTGCTTACCCAACCCAGTCATGTTTAATATATATTCCTCCTGTACCATCTCACCCACTTTCCCTGGCTAGCACAGTATTTGAGTGGGTGAAAGGAACACATTTTGCCTGCCAGGCTGCGAAGACTGCAGCTTCCTGTCTAGACACACCCAAGGTGTCACAGCTGAAACATTTGACAGTGAGGGTAGCAATTAAGAGATGCGCTCTGACAGATGTATTACTGGCAGTCACACAGAGCTGCCAAGTTTGCGAGGAATTGGCAAAAGGAGGATGGTACCGACAAACAAGATATTAGCAGTTCAGTCTGGAGGGAATGTTTTTTTTTAAATCTGTTTTAATTAAAACATAAATCAGATTTTGGTGTTGAATCAAAGACGTGGATAATCTTTCAGTTTGGTCAGTGGTGTCCAGGTGATGTTGGGATTTTGCATCAGCATTAGGAGCTGGATACAGAGGATACAGCTGACTGATGTGAATGAAGGAAGAACTGATTAGAGAACAGCATCTACATAGGTATAAAAGAAAAATTGTAACCCATGAAGTCTAACTGATAGGATGACGCAAACCAAGATGGAGTACATTTTTAAACTGTCCGGATAAAAGACTAACTGCAAAGTACTCGGTGCACTTGCCAAAACATCGCTGTAAAAAGCTGTGAGTAATTGACCAATGGCTTTTAACATGACTGTGACTGCAACAAATCTGCTCTGCAAACTTAGACCAGACCAAAACTTGCAAATATGGCACATGCTGTCGATTAGTTGGCCAGATAAATGCGACATCTGAATGACGGTCTCCCAGCCGGCCACAGCTGACAGATGCATATATTATGTAAAAAATGTACTGCCTCTTTATCTCCTGGGTGACTGATTGAAGGGAGTCATGAGGACATCCAGCTGCATTAGAAATGGTGATAATACAGTTGGTGGTGAAAAGCCTGCTGTTGGCACTTTGCCGTACAGTAACTAACTTAGGAAAAGAAAAATCTCTGCGATCCAAAATACACCAGACACATTCACAAGGTATTACAATGGGGAGAATACTTGACCACTGGCACAGCTAACAACCCAAATGGCTTTATTTCACCCAGCACAAAAGGTAAGAACTCTCTAAATAAGTACTTGCACTTAAGGGGTTTCTAGTTCCCCGAGACACAGAGGTTAGCGTACCAGGGCCCTTTTTCATCAGACCTTTTTAGTATTACTGCTCTTGCCTGCCTGGTAATTACTGGAAGGGCCGTGTAGATGTTTTGTGCTTTGAGACAGGCATCTGTGTCTCTGAGGACCATTGTGTAAAAGAAATAATGACATCCCCATTACATCAGCTGTATCTAGCAGTTACACTATAATCTGATCAATGAAGCCTAGATACCATATAAGCATGGGCGGACCTGTCTCTGTGCAGGTGTTACACAATTACATTGATGACCTTGTGAAGTAGCGTTGGATGATGGAGATGATGGAGTCGTCTTCGTTGTTAAGCAACCACCACTTAATGGCAGCATCTCTCTAAAAAGCTCCCCCAACCACCCACCCTGGGGTCCCCCTCAAACTATTAACCATAGTTTATTGAGAAAGGCATGATGTATAGTGTACCTCTGCTCATGGAGCCTATTCTTTACTTGCACTGCTGCCTGTGACCACATCTCTATGTACAGGATTTAGTTAGCAGTTAGTGCAGCAGACAGCTCAAGTAACACAATGTCATGAAAACATGTCATCCATCTCCTGGTACTAACATCGTGAGGCGGCAGCCATCTTTGGACTAAAAGTTTTTTGGAAGCTGTAAGACCTTCCAGCAAATTAAGTTGGCACCTATTACAGTTTGGACTCTGTACTTGTCTCATGTGTAACCTGGTGACAGGCGTATGGTAAACTGAGTCAGCAAAGCCTACATTATATTTAAGAAAAAAACAGATAATGGGGCAAACTATAGATTATAATAAAACAAGTTTATATGAAACACAATTAGCTATTCTGTTTCGTACTTGTAGGGTATACAGGTACAAATATAAATTACACTTTAAAGTTTGAAATTACAGCCCCTTGTATTTGATATGGGAACTGACTGTTTGCCAAGCTCCAAGCCCTGTTGCTACCCCTGTCAGGCTACATACAGTTTACAGTGATAACAGTTATAGACCATCGAAATCACCATCAAAAGTCTTAATCATTTTCTGAAACAACAGGTTCTTGACCAAATTGACAACTGCTGCTAGCAGATTTTATCAGATGCAGCTACCTAGCTACATATTTAAGCTAATGTTAGCTTTATGACTTGGTTAATAACACATTTTTAAACACAGTCTTAAAAACAAAGGCTTAGTGTTTCAAGCTTACTCATTTAAAAAATGAACCCTAATTGGTCTACATATGTATTTGATGGCAACATAAGGCTGAGGTTAAAGCTACATGTACCAGGGGAAAATGTTGCATTATCACCAGCTGATGGTCCATGTAGACACGGAAATAAAGAAACTGAATTGTTCTCTAGAGTTAGCTAGCCCTAGTATTACAAAAACTAGGATCATAAATTACTATCAATCAAAATGGCTGACCCTATATCTTCCCCATGTTGTTCCATTCCATTCATCCTTTTGCTGGAGACCCCTCATGGATCCCTGTTGGTCCCTGGACCCCAGTGTTTTTTAAAGCAAAGACACTGTTTAATCCCTTTTTTAACATGTTTGTTCTAGTATTTTTGGCTTTAACCATGTGTACAGCTTCAACATGCAGAGAAAGCCAACGTTTTACAGACGTGCTTACTGTCGCAAAGTTTACTTGGACAATCACTGTTCAGGGGAAGGGTTCAGTGAATAGTCGCCTGTTACGCCATAACATATTCACATGGTGATATTAAACTTCCCAAGGAATCACTGTACAGTCTCACTGGTAACAAAGACATAAGAGCCCTGTCGCTAACGTGTTGCTACATTTGTGGATTTAATGTCTTTAATGGCAGGTGTGAGTGTGGTATGTTGAAAATTGAGACTCACTTGTATTGTGCCTGGAAATGTTCCTGGACAAAGCTGTGCTGGACTCCGGGCTGCTGGGACGGGTCAGGAGACAGCACCTCCTCAGCTCCACTGGGGCCCTGCAGCACAGAGGAGGCCACCCATAAACACAACACTGTCACACTGTCAGATCCATCATAGGCTGCTGTTGTCAAGAGTCCTCCGTGTGAGAGGAAGCTAAATAAATTAGGAATTCTTACAGCAGCTCCTGTAAAATGCAGATTTAGCACATTCTAGCTTTGCCAAGGCAGTAAAGTGATATGAGTGGTGAAAAGCAGTAAACTAAAAATAACCCCCAAGGGAAGCCACTATATTCTTTCATCTACTCACCTACAACACAGAGGAAGCTGGCCTTGAATGAAGATAAAAGAAGAGGAAAGAAAAAGCTAAAAAATAAATAAATAAAAAACATAACAGAGACTGATCACTGGAAGACTTGCAAGGTCGCAAAACAAATTTGTGGGATGGTACACACAGACACTGTCTCTCAAACACCGCTGTGTGTTAATCACACACAACTAATTGAATAACCTCAGTTGTACAGTACATGACTTAATATTAATAATATTTACTACACATTTAACTAGATCTTATCCTCCGATAAAGGGATACAGTATGCAAACTGATACCAGCTGAAGGATGTAACAAAGAAGATTTAACATATTCATTCGGGATCTTTAGAGGTGCTCGCGGCAGATCTTGTTACAAGTGGACAGTGAAGTAGGAAACCTTCAGTAATGAACAAAATTTTCATATTCATAGATTCTGGAATTTTTATTGAGGTAGAAGTAGTAGATGTCTTTTTAAAGAGTTTAATATTGTATCAGATTTTCAATTTTTTTTCCAAGCAGACTCAATATTCTCATGTATTTTTTTCGAAAAAGTCTATTTTATTCATTTTTCAAATGCATGTGCAGAGGGCTAAAATCTAAGAGTGTAATAGTTATAATTAGCAGTCATGCTGTGTTACTTAGGACGTGTCTGTACGGACTCCATTTCACACCTTCCAGCCGGGGGAAAATGTCCCGAAAAACATTCTTTCAGTTGCCAAGTGGTTCTGCTTAAAAGGCCATCATGAGGCATACAAGCACCTTGTTAGCATTTCTCTGCTCGCACACTATCGGTCCCACAATAGTCTTTGCAAAAGTCAGGTACTTGAGACTGCATTAAGTCATCATATCATTTCAGCAGTGCTTTTACTCCGGGCTGGCCGGGCCAAACGGAAATGCACTCTCCGAACCTTCTCTGTTGACACACACTCTCTCTCTCTGTTTACTATTCCTCCGATTTCTAGCTCCTGCTCCCATACTGGCTGCCACTGTTCCCAGGCTGGCAGCTCGACCATGACCTCCCCTCACAAACGGAGCTGAAAGGAGGATTAGAATTTCTAAAGGGGAGAGAGGGAAATGGAGGGCGTGTGTGTGCGTCTGAGAAATCAGTGCGAGACAGAGACAGACAGAGGGACAGGAGAGTCCTTTACAGTTCACCACCATTTCAAATCCAGAGTCTATTCTTCGAAGAGCGTTTGAGCTTTGGAAAGCCCGAACGCGAAACTGAAACCTGACCTTCCTGCTGCACTGTGCTCCAACAGGCATGTACAATGACAAATGCCTACCCCTTCGCTCACTCTTCTTTGCATGGATGTCAGGGTTTTTTTTCTTTAGCTTAGTCATATTCTCCTGCAAAACGTCAGGACTGCCAAAAGGGGAGGTCTAACCCAGCTGATCATCTTGTTAGTGGCTACACATGCAACTTTTAGTGTTAGAAATTAAGTGATAGAGGTTAAGAGTGCAACGCTTCAGACTTTTTCTTTCCTAATGAAAAGCACTGACATCAAGCCCTGTATTTCACTCCCTTTTTCCTCCACATACTTGGTAATGGATTCCATTGCTATCTTTATGTGGAGATAACAAAGCAACATTGAGGCCACAGAGTGCAGACACAGTCAGTCTTATCACTTCTCAGAAATCCATGCCCAGCTCTGCCCTGTCAAAAGACTGCAAGGCGTCAGCTGTGTGTTAACAGAAGCTATTGAAGATGTGGACATTTAAGCACAGTGAGAAAGTGGGACAGGTTACATGCCCACTGACATGTGGTTCTGATAAGGTCTCAGCCATCTAAATGATCGCAGACAGATAGCGAATCCCATGGAGTAAGCTGTGACTGCTACTAGCCTAAGAAATTGTTTTACAGGTTGTTAAGCGACCCCGACAGAACAGGGGTCCTTCTCAAGAGGTGCCATTCGCCGGTCTGAAATTGAGATGCTATCTTTGAAATTGGTTGTCAGAAAAATATGCCAACTTCAAACTGATAAAAATGTAACTAAACAGGCAGGCAATAGAGGAAAAGAAACCAGAGAAGCTATTTTTGGAGTCAGGTCTGGCTGGTAGATCGGCTACCACAAGGGCAGGGGAATGGGAAAAGCAAAGGGTGTGAATTTTCTTTTACATTTACACACTAGTATTCTTCTTCTGTACATACTGTACAATACCCAGTGTGAATGTCCAGTCACACAGCCATACAGTTCCTACAGTACTGATGCAGCTGACTGATTTTTGTTCTGTGTTAACTTTATTCAATAATTATTAAATAACTGCCAAGTAATTACAATTCTAAGATTGATTATTGTTTAAATGTTTCTTTAACAGTATGTTTAAAGAATTTTATTCGTCACTTTAACTTGGTTTGTCCCCCTTTATTATCACATACTGGTTTGTGGGAGCTCTTCCGTGTAAAAAATATTTCAGGATTTAGGAGTAAATTAGCCTGCGGCAGACATAGTGGCTGCTGATTTGGTTTATCTTGGAGGAGTGCAACTGCAGATTGGTTTGTTGTTTTTGGCACAGCTATTTTGGAGCTTTTCACCAACCATTTTTGGAGGTGAATGTGGATGCTTCTGTTTGTGCCAGCTACTTCCCTTTGGTAGTTTGTTGGAGAAGGAATTATTTGGTCCCCTTTTAGCCCACCTAGACTGCAAGCAAAATCAAACACCAAACCAAAAACCAGGAAATGTGGAGCCTGGAAGAGGGGGAGACACTAAGGGGAGGGCTGGCTTATTTAAGCCTGGTAGAGTTGACCAACCACGTCAGAAGGCAAATGTGTTTATAACTGTTCCAAACAGTGGAAGGCAAAGTGAAAAGCTGATCCTCAAAGGGCGGTATGGGGGGGGGTAATTCTTTAAATATGGGGATAATGGTGCACATACACTCAAGTCACTCCTGAAGGACATTCACAGTGGACTTGTTTGTACAAATCAGTGACTTTACAAACATTCATAATGGGGTTTCTGTAAGATCTAAATTTATGGAACAGTGGTAAGTTGTAACTGAGGACTGAAGTTGATGGCCAAGCAGAGCACATCTCCTAAAATTAAATGAATCTGCACTATTTTGTGGTCAAACCAAAACAACTCATATCTGAAAAGGTAACATGCAGAAATATAAACACAGAAATGTGCAGCTGCTAATATCCAAGATATGTAAAGCCAGAGAATTGTCTACCTCTGCTTAATCCTTAAGCCTCAATGCCAGGAGAGGGGCGTGTGCCAGTGCCCGAGGAGCAAGGAGAAAATTAAAACTCAAATCCCTCACCCTGGCACCTTAGCGTGCTGTAATTGATTTCTGGGATTTAGATAAATGACAAAGATACAGCAGACAACTGAGTGGTGGGCTGGAGCCTGGCCGCTGGCTCAGCACTGTCAGCGGGAGGCCAGAGTTCATAGACTGTGATTTTTAAGCTGATTTACGGAGGAAGAGAGAGAGAGAATGGAGAGAGCTAGACTTGAGACATTGTTTTGCGGCTGGCTGGTGAAGATCCGACAGCTGCCTCAAAAGTGCCATTTTCCTAAAACAATAGAGAATACCCGCTGAAATGAGTGTATTTTAATGGGAATGCCAGTTTGAAATATACTGACAATCTAGGGAATCAAGGTTTTTAGATAGCTATTCATACCGACAGACAAATATTTCATTAGGATTCTTTTTTCCCCAATAATACCAGAATTAATATGAACAATATTGACTAAATAAGAGAAGAAAATGCTAATGCTGTTATCTGCTAAGAAATCACTTCTTTAGGCTTTTTATTTTGCTTTCCCACAGTGAGATCAATGTCTTGAAAAAGACAGTTGACAGCCTTGGAAACTGCATTTACTTATTATCCATTTCTGCAGGGAGGATGCAAACACAGATGAGCAGCTCACTACCAAATGTATGAGGAGACTGTTGACTCTTGGTCATCTGTGCTTCAGTATGAAAGCCTGAAATCGTACAAATTAACAGTGCACTCTGTCCCAGCAGGGAGGCTTTCAATAATTCACCCCAAAATGTTGCTGGGAGTGATTCATCTCTGTGAGTAGATCCACTGTAAATAAACTCGGGCACTGTGGTAAAAATCCAGGAAATGTTCCCCCCAATCCTCAGACCACCTGTCTCATCCTGGTTTTCAGGGATGGTGGGGGGAGATCGTAAAAGGAGGAGGGGGACGAGTGATCCCAGTAATGGCCCTGATGTGAATAATTTAAACAAGCCGTGGATGGACATGTGCTGCTGCTGGAGAAAGCACTATAGTGGAGTGATTGAGAACAAGACACAACAGCACCTAAATCTCTGTGGTGATCGTAACCGATAGAGAGAGAAGTAGGAAGAGACAGAGATGTGGGGCAGGAGTAAAGACACTGCATACGTATGTGCGTATTGACATATAGGCAGATGGATATAGAGCGAGAGAAAACAGAGTGTTATTGAGTAACTGAATGACTCAGAAAGTCAAAGTAGTAGCCACATACAGAGCGTTGATAAATAATGGACAGTCTCCTTCAACTCTGCCTCCAGTCGCGTGCGTACCTATCTATATATAGTCCCAATGATACTGACGATGGAAGCTTTTCTCTCTGCCCCTTCAGCCCATTATCCCCCGTGGCCGATCGCTCCGGGTGGGGTGTTTTTTTTTGTATGGACATGCAAAGTGCCCAGACAACGGTGCATGGACTCACAGTGACCTCAGGGTTGTAACTGAATGATTAAGGTTAGTCTGCTCTCGTTTTTGACTGACAGGACAGGACGAAGGGCAGACTGGCTCT